GGGGGGGCTTGATGAATTGTGTGTTCGTGTGTGGGAGGGGGGTGACGATCGAACGCACCACACTCGTGTGCCCTTTTTGTAAGGATACATACACACGACGCACGAGCAGGTAGGCTTTGTTGCTGCCTGTCCCGGCCTGCGTGTCCGCCTGCCGTGTGCAAGGCAGGCTTTTTCCCCTCTATGCGTGCGGTAATTTCGTACACCTACTTTTGCAGCAGCACGACTGTAGCAGATGAGGGCGGGGGGATTGATACGCTCCTACGTCCCATCGGATCGCTTTGTCTCCGTGTGCACGGCAGCAAGCCAGCCTCATCAGATCAGATTGGTTTGTCTACGCGCGTACCGGTGGGTGGGAGGGATGCCTAGTAGGCTTTGTGTGTAAGCTATAGACAGATAAGATAGATAGATGACACAAACAAACATCGTGCCGCAATGAGAAAGAGACACATGGAAGGGAGACAGGTAGCATCTCAAGTCGATAGTCTGTCTTCGCGGGGAGACCGTTCGTTCGTTTCCATCGATCTTTGTCGACCCATTCACCGGTTTTATGAATGATGTGATGGTGTGCGTGAGATGGATGAATCCATGGACATCACATCGAGACCACCGTTACTTACATGTGAAAGGTCACGAACACATATCGGTGTGTTGGTCAAGACACGCACACGAACACACCACGCCTATCTATCGACTGTGCCCGTCGCGTCGTTCACCAGCCAGCTCCAATTGTCTTTGTACACAAAAAGAAAACGAAGCGCTCAGCAGTCGCTTGCTCGGCTGCACATGTGAGTAACCTACCCTTACCCCTCCACATCCGTAGACACGCACCCCGTCCCACCCCCCCACCCCGCCCCCTCCAGCAGTCAGTTCTTGGACAGCTGATCGATCGTCTTCGGCGGTGGCGGCGACACATTCGTGGGCACCACATACCTCGCCAGCGGCCTCAGGTCCTTGTAGCACCCCCTCACGGTGCCCTCAGACGTCTTGGCCACACTCGCGATCTCAGACACGGGTATGGTCGTCCTGGTGTCGACATCATACAGCTGCAGCGCCATGTACAGACACGCCGACGCGAGAGACGACGGGCGGTAGCCCTTGGTGACCTGCTCAGACGCCCGCACGCAGATGTCGGCGGCCAACATCTCCACCTGTGTCTGCTTGGCGCGTCCGAGGCCGCCCAGCAGCTGGCCGGCGTAGCGCTTGACGAGGTGGGCTGGGGTGTCGGCTGTGGTCCCGCCGTAGTTGGCGAGGGCGCCATCGCTGGAGCCGGCCTTGGCAACCGTGATGGCCTTCTTGAGTCGGTTGACGGTGCGGCCAAGCTCGGCCACAGTGACGTTGGGGTAAGGCTCCACGAGCTCCTTGAGAGTGCGGGTGGTGCCGGCCTCCCGACACGCCAGGTAGACGACGGCGAGCATCTCCTTCCACCCCGACTTGCCCTTGAGCTGGTCCGACTCGAGCAACACGGCTGCAATCTCCTTGCACCGCTCCATGATGACGTCCTTGAGGTTGAAATCACCCTTGATCTTGCTCAGGTTGCCGAACGCCGTCTTGAGCAGCCGGTCCCTTCCCTGCATGCTCGTGGCGGCCTCGTGAGTCCTCATGAGCGCCCTGTCGCCTCCGATCATGGCCGTGCCGCCCGCACTGCCGTCGAACCACTCGTCCGTCTTGTCGCCAACACGGTTGCGGTCCTGTCCCGTGTCGCCCTTGTCGCTGTTGCTGAATGTCCGCCACTCCTGCTCCTCGCTGATGATGCGCGACTGCAGCACCAGACCGCACCGCCCGCACAGCTCGTTGCCCTGCTGGTGGTCCGTAATGATGGCTGCAGCGGACCGGCAAGTCGGACAGTACGCCTGGCCGCCTATCAGATTGGAACGTGCGCTCCCTACAGCAGACATCTCTTCCTCTTCCTCGTCCCCTCGTCCTCTGGCCCTCTCAGCACTAGCGTTCGCCCGCGCGTTGCGCGGGCTTCCTGAGACCCGCTTCTTAGGTGGTTTAACGAAACACCTATCCCTAAGCCCGACGCTACACTGTCCACAGGACACAGGCAGCATGCACTCAAACAAACCATTGCACAAGGCGCTTCCTTCAAACCCGCGACCCCCCGCTGCTGACCCGTGGCTTCGGTCAGTAGGCGTGGCATAAAGCGACTCGCCGCCCTCATCACCCATGAAGAAGGGCATGTGAACTTCAAGGACAGTCATGACCTTACCCTGACCACCGTAACACTCTCCCGCATATCGACCGCCTGCGCGACTCGAACCCGCGCGGCGCGCGAGACGCCAGCCTCTCGTCTGCCAAACCGGCCATGTGCGAGCTTTTTTTAACGCACATTTGCGGTCCTTTCTCGCCAACCGCGCGGCACCAGGCTGCGACGCCAGAGCACAGGCAATGGCACAAAATTTTTAACGACGAAAAACACCCCACTCTTGTGGCGAGCTTGAGTTTAATCACAGTATAGGTAAGACCCCTCTGCGATTCGAACCCGCGACTTCCTTTGCCCTCGCTCTGCACGCCTCAACCACTGCGCTATGTGCTCATCGGGCGGGGTGAACCGCTCCCGCGCGAAACGCATTTCCGCTCATATCTCCTCACCCGCGCCTCCCCGGACCGCAGCCGTCGAGCACAGGCAGCGCGGGAATTTCCCGCAGCGTCTAAAACGAAAAGACGCCGGTGGTCTGTGGGTGGTGGGTGGCGAGCTTGAAAAGTAGTGGAGTATAGAGAGATCTTTGCGAGCATTGTAAGCTCGCAACTTTGAAGGAAAAAATCCACAGAAAAGAGCCCTGCAGCGCCAGGGCTGCTCGAGATCCCTGCCGGTGTCTGCGTTGACAGTGGACCACGATTTCTATTATCCAAGACGAAGTGTGACTGGGCCGTCTCGGTTGAATACGACAATTTGATGCAGAAGATGGGGCCTGTGAGCTTTGAGCTGCCGGCCGACAGTCCAGTGAGGCCTGTTGTCATCATTGCGCCGCCACTCGAAGGTGGGAGCCCGGGACGGAAGAAAAAATCGTCAGAGTATGTGTCGTGCCAACGGGAAGACGAGAGGCTGCGACGGGCGCTAGACCGCGTCTATAAGAGACCTGATGACGCCGCAACGACAGGCAGCGGCAAAAGAGCCCTGCCCACGGAAGGCATGCACACACTCTTCTTCCAGGTAATCATATGCGACCTTCCGTCTTCAGCCATGCATTTCTCTTCTTCTTGTGTGTCACCCAGGCTTTATCGAGAAGAATTGAGGCTGAGATATGCCGACTCTTTCACTACCGAGGGGCAGGTACACAAGTCTTGCCGCCAGCGCCACGAGATAGATTTGAGTGCTTTCCTTTCCCGGCTGTCTGCAACTACAGAGGCTCTCGACATTGTCCAGTCGGTGCTGCCCAAGCACTACGATGGCCTGCATCAATCGGTGAGGGGGCTTATCAGAGACAAGCTGGCGCCGCAGAGGTCCCTCGTGAAGGCCGCAAAGAACGTTTTAGCGCCCATCCGCCGATACATGGCTTGGATGGAAGGATGGCTCAGCAAGCTGACGGCTGCTGGAGGGGGATTGCAAGAGGGGCAGCTGGGTCAAGAAAGGGGCTTTGAGATGGAGCACACTCTTCACCTCACTGACCAACTCGACGAGCAACAAAAACAGGTAGCATGCAGGTACTCATATGTGTGATCTTGGCGAAAGGTCTTTTCTGTCGCCTTTCCATCAGATAACTTCTCTCGAAGAACGGTTGGTGGAGTACCAGCAGATCCTCCACGTAATGCTCGCAGAGGCACAGTGCTTGGTGTCCTGTCACACACCAGCCATTGTTCTCTTTTCCCGTGTCTCACTTTGGCAGGATTGTCGGCATGCGTACTGGAAGCAGATCTGCCTCCTTTCCTCCCTGCAACCCGCAGACCACAGCCCGAGCCCTCACCCATTTGAGAAACAGCTCACCTTTCTTCAAGGCAACAACGCGCCGACCACACCTTTCACCAGCGCCGCGCTTCAAGCCACATTCTCTCCTCGGAGTGAGCCGGCAACGATGCGAGGCCTTCGGCCTATATCGGCGCCGGCGCCTGGCGTCTCTGCAGACGTCACTTTGTCCATGCTGGAAACCGACACATTATGGCAGGACATGGGAGCGGAGGCGATGGATGGGGAGAGAGTCCACGATGTGCAGTTTTTCGACCCTGAGAAATTTGTTGTGGAGGATGACACACAAGTACGGAAAGGCTTTCCTTTACACAGACACCTTGCACAATTGCGTGATGACCCTTCTTTCACTCTCTCCCTGCGTGTGTCGATCTGTCAGCCCAGTCGCGTCAAAGAGCTGGAAGAGACAGTTTCTCGCCTTGAGACGCAGCTGCAGACAGTCAAGCAGACGCTCGAGCGGACGAAGGACGAGAAGAAGTACATATCGGACAAGTGCGACTCGCTGATGGACCTGCTTGCCACTCAAAAGAAGGATGCAGAAATTCGACAGAAGAAGAGCGTCCAAGTGTGGATGGAGCGGGCACAGGTGGGCTCTGTCTCCACAAAGAGGGCAATGACAGTCAGCGTGAAAGACTCTTTCCGTCCGTGTCTCTCAGATGATTGCTGAGGATACTTACGCTTGGGAACTCAAATGCATACGGCTGACGGAGGAGCAGGAACGGAAATCGCAAAAGGCACAGAGCCAAATCAGGTAGGAGGCAAAGTGGTCATATCATATATCGAAGTAAGTCGGTGCTTACTCTCATTCTGGTTCTCAGAAAGCTAGAGGAGACAATCGAAAACCTCCAGCAGGGCAAACAGGCCCTGGTTGAGCGGATTGATGACTTCACTGCGACGCTTTCGAGGTCAGAAGCATGCAGATGTGTCGACACGTCCAGTGATGCTTAGTGATGCTTGCTGTCTCTGTTCTCAGGCGGAATGCGCTGATATCTGATATGCGCGCCAATGTCCGGCGACTGGCCAAGCGGGTCCTCGTGGGTGCCCGCTATCTCGATGAAAACGAATGGGTCAGAGAACACCTAGCGCCTGAAGACATACAGCGTGAGTAAATTAGCAGCAGCTGTCAATGCATCGCAGAATGTCGCTTTTGTGTGTCCAGTGGCGGATAGGTCAAGTGGCGGTGAAGATGTCAGGGCCCACATACGGCAGCTAGAACGGGAGAATGAAGACTTGAGGCAGCAGCTGGAAGCGGCTGAGGTGTGCGAGAAAAAAAACGTGGTCTACGTGAGTGCTCGATTGTCGATGTCTCCCGATCTTGCAGGCGGCAATTCGCAAGTCTGGCAGAGCTCTGATGGGTAGACCTTCAACAGTGGCCAACAAAGGCAGCCAGACGATGGCCCTCCCTGCACCGCCACCATCCATCGAGGAGGCCATCTCTCTGCAGATCGTCCAGCAGATAGCCGAACCCATAGAGGCAGTTGAAGAGTCCTCGGAGGCGGAGGAGACTGCTGCTGATTTGCCGGAAACGACCGTGGCGCATCAAGATGAAGAGACGCAAACAGAGGGGAAGGCAAAGGAAGTCGAGGAGATACACGAGACACAGGTACGCGGCAATGACCGCTTCACATCTGGCCATTCTCTGCATGAATTCGTGATTGGATAGGAGCGCGGTATTGAAACGGAGGATCTGCTTCTGCCAGAAACACCACCTCGAGAACCCGAGACCATCATTCTGCGGAAACTGCCCAGCAACGTCACTGAGATATCCGATGGGCAAGTGACTCAGCTGTTGGGCCTTTGCGATGGCCTGCTGCGGACCGAAAGAACGGCCCCTCGAATCCACCAATGGGTGCAGCAGTTCTTTCCTGTCGAATCAGAAATACCGGCACCTGCAGCGGCCAAGGAAGAAGAAGAGGAGAAGCCGACCGTCGAGCCCGTGTTGCCCAAGCAGCCCTCATTCCCGCCCGTGGCGCCTGCACCTTCTTCCCTGCCGGAATTGGCCGAGCGATCGTGTCAAACGGACCCCATAGATGAGAAGAAAACGCCTCGATATAGCCCTCGAGTGGAGCCTCAGCCTCCGTCTCGTGGGCCGTCGGAGAAGCTCGCTGTTCCACCACTGAGCCAGAGTATGGATGAGAGGCTGAAGTTGCGGAGCATCCTGGTCATGATGAAGGGTGTTGCACGAGCCGTTCACGAGTCCAAGAGGGCCTCTGTGGCTCTGTCGGACGACGCTGTGCGGAGACGGGCTCCATCTATCGCAGACCTTGTGACTGCGGCGCTCTATAGATCGAGACATGGATCAATACCTGAGGCACGGTCGCGATGGGACATGGTGAAAGCATCGATGCTGTCTCCATATTACCGCTTCCCCACACCTGAGGGAGGCTCATTCTCATTCTCTTCAGCCTCAGCATCGTCTAGCAGCGCCACTCCCGGCGAGAAGGCTTCAGCCAAGGCCTCTCCGAGGGTGGACATGTCTGCTATTGAGAAGGTCCGAGCTGAGATAACGACGGAAGACATCGCCAAAGCACAGGCCGAAGAGGAGGGAAAGAGCGGAGCATCAGGATGTGAGGCCAGCTCCAGCTCTGCCTGGGAAGGGCTTAGGAAGCGCCGTAAACAAAGGGTGCCGACTGTCAAGAAGGTGTCGGCAGCCCTTGGCGTGCTGGGCTTCAAGACTGAAGAGCCAGGCCCGGACGACGACCAAGACGAGAAGGATGAGGTGGATCTACCAGGGGCAAAGCCACTCCAACGCTCAAGCGTCCCGAGGTTGGAGATTATCAGTGATGACGCAGCCGGACTGACAGCCGCAGGGCCACCGCTTGGTGAAGAGGATCTGAGAATTGAGGATCTGGATGCTGTTATGGAGTACACTACGTTGATTGACGAAGTCTCGCATCTCAGGTAGTCGAGCACTAGCTTTCGCCCTTACAACTGTTTGTCTGCCTCATCGGTGTCATCCACTTCTTTGGATGCACACAGGGTGAAAGCTATGGCACACGAGGACCTCTGTAGCCATCTGGCTCGTACTGAGTCGCAGCAAGCCACGACAGAAGAGCAGACTCCCTCGATCGCTGGACCGTCAGAAGCAGTGGAGGAGGCCAGGGGAGCCCCGGGGCGGACGGCGGACGCCCTTAAAATGGCAGAATTAAGACGCCAGAACCAGCAACTCCTCATGAGAGTGAGCCAAGATTAAACATGTCTGTTTGCAAAAGATGTGTCTTGCGCTTTTCTTTAGTGTCTGTGGTTGACCGAGAAGCTCGTTCAGCTAAAGCCGAGACACCTGGATCTCAGTACCAAAACATGGACTTCCCCGTCCGCAGCACCACCACGTCTCGCAGTCTCGGAAGCTCCTCAGATGACCACATCAATCACTGCTTCCACCATTCCACTGGTCTCACAGGAGGGCGCCGCAAAGCCGGTGCGCTTCCATGAGACGCAAAGGGTCGCTGGTCGGCAGGCAGAGGAGAGACGGTCGGTCAGCACACTGCAGCCTGACGAGACGCCCCAGACCGCTTCTCGGCGCAGATCATCCCGATTTGACAAGCAGGGCAGGTCCTGTCCTCTGCTCGCCTTGTTCTCGGAGTCACTGGCGAAGAGGGCTCAGGCTGAGTCTGGCGGCACAGAGGCTGAGGACAGTAAAGAACTGCAGTCGCTGTGGAAAGACACCCTGAAATCCCTGTCTCTTCTGGAGCCCTCACTATTGCCTGAGGAAGCACGTGAGGAACGACCGAAAACTGAGCAGCCCGGGAGAATGCGCGTCACGATTCACAACACCCCTTTCGGTGATCTGTCGAGGGAAGAGCACAGCCAGTGGCTCACCCCATCCGAGGCCACGCCTTTCATCGACAGCAGCCTGAAGTACTCGAGCTCACATCTCCCCCTCAGCCCCACTGTCCCTCGTCGCGTCTCAACGACGGCTCCTGCACGACAGCGACCCATGCAGACATCAGAGACGCGGCAGAGGCAGGAGAAGCCTGCTGCTGCTGCTGCAGAACCTGCTGGGGCCTACGAGCGATTCCCACCTTCACTTGTTATAATTCCCCAGCCTGGCAGGGAAGGCAGTCGGCCGCAATCAGCAAAAGCGGCCACAGATACTTCTGTTCTACAGCTGGTCGTGGGCGAGGCTGGCCGCACGTGCGACGAAGAAGAGAGAACGGCAAGCCCCGAAGGAGGATCAAGTGCAATCGCAGCGTCTGCTTCCGCCCAATCGTCGAGGCCCAGCAGTCCCGCATTCCATGCCACCAAGCTGCGGAAGAAGTCAGAACCCCAGGATACCGATGATGAGCTGCTATTCTTGTCTCAAGTCGAGTCGGCTGTGTCTCCAAGGGACCGCAAGCGTGGCAGCTCGAAGAGCCTCTCCAGCGCCGTTGCATCGCCTGAAAGCCGTGGGAAGACCGGCTCCACTGTGCTTCGTCCTTCGTTCGCTCTGTCTGCTGATGAGGCGATGCACTCAGACGAGCCGCTTTCGTCCTGCTGGCACATGCAGCCACCCCCTCCGCTACCAAGCCTCGCCGAGAGACCTGCTGACGCCTCACCAACCAGAGCCAAGACCGCCTCCACGTCACCACCATCTCGCGGGCGGCACGCAAGCATGGCGTCGGCATCCTCAGGCGAGGAACTGCCCCCAATCCATCAACAGTCAAGGCCAGACGTCAGCCAGCGCAGCCAGCGAAGAGCACAGTACGAGACGATCAGAGACGCAGTGGTTGGTGGGGTTGAGGGAAGGAGCCAAGAGCAGGGGCAGTCAGTGGTGATGAGTGGGCTGTCTCTGCATGAAGGGATAGCAGCCAGCAGGGGCAGGGGTAGAGCAGAGGAGCGGGGGAGAGAGGTCAGGCAAGGGGCGGGGGCCACGCAGGAGTATCCCGAGAAGAGGCAGACCAGGACAATGCGAGTCTCTGCTTTGCAAGAACAAGCACTGCAGCGGTTCACACGGCCCACGCCGCCTCGGCAGCTGCTACGTACTGGACTGTGAGTTGTGCCGTGTTTCGTACCGCCATTGTAAGAGACAATTTTGCTTTCCGTTTCACGACAATTTGGTGATCACACAGTGCGTTGTCTGGCACTGGCATCTCCTTTTGAGGCTGGCAACCGACGGAATGTGTGGGCATGCCTGTGAGCGGTGACGAGTGGCGGGGGACAGGGCACCTGGTAAACTCTAAATCGCTTGTAAACTCCAGTTCTTGTGCCCAAAAAATGGAAGATCAGTTGGCGAAGTTGCGGCAGCAGGTAGCGGAGAGGGATGCGCACATCCAGGCCCTCTTCCAGGAGCGCAAAAACGCCAACGACAAGAACATGCGGGAGATGGCCTCACTCGTCAACAACCTCTCTCAGTCCCAACACATAGAGCAGCAGCTCCGCCAGCAGCACCAGGCACGCACGACAACACACCGACCGAACCATCCAGGAAGCCCATCCATCCATCCATCCATCCCAATATTGATCCATCCATCCTGTCATTCTGTGTATGGTGCAGATGGAGCGTGATAGGTACCTGGAGAATGAATTGGAGCTGTCATCGGAGTTGGAGGCCGCCCACAACACCATCCGCACGCTGCAGGAGGAGCTCCGCCGGCTCCAGAGCGAGAGCCAGACGCTCCAGCACGCCTACGAGGACCAGATCGCATCCCTCAACACAGACCTCGAGAGGGCCGCCAAACAACTCAAGGAGGCCCAAAACGCCAGACGCGCATCGTCCACTAGCGAAAGGTACACACTGGTCGGCGGCAACCCCATCCATGGATGGATGGATGGATGGATGTGCCGTCCCTGTCTGTGGTGCAGTGTGTGTGTGCGTCAGGAGGACAAGGAGGGGCTGCTGCGGCGGATGGAGGCCGAGTGGTGCGTGATAGACGAGGTATTCGACAGGGACATCAACCAGTCCAGCAGCAGTGCGGCTGCCGCTGCCTGTGCGGGGGAGGTGAAGAGGGCGCCCACACGCGGGAAGGGCGGCATGCAGCAGTTTGCTTGGGTGTGGGGGATGCTCGACGTATAGAAGAGCTGCAGCGGTATGGTAGCTACCGAGGTTGGAGGGAGGGATGGAGGGAGGGAGAGAGGGTGTGGAGAGGGTATGGTAGCTGGGGTGCGTCAGGCAGGCAGACCAGAAGACTTTTCTTGACAGATGGATGCATTGCACGTCCAAACAGCCAGCCATCCGTGGTTTGTTTAAGCATGGTACCACCATGGCGCCTTGAGCGTTCGATCAGTGCACGCATCGCATCACGCACCACCATAAACAACACAACACACCTGATGTATGTGTGTCCCTAATTATCACACGGAAAGAAAGAACCGCGCACCACCCACCACCACCACCACCTCCGCCACCAGATGATGTTGGATGAGTTGTCAAATGAATGGCACACTCCCTCACAAACAGCCAGGCAGTGCAGAAAGCGCATACATGTATTTTTGTATATGTGTGGCCTAATTACGAATTGTGTGTGGGGGGGTGGCTCCAGCCTTTGGGTACCTCCACTTGCTCCCTCGCGCCATCCTTGCGCACCGACCGCATCACCGCATCCAACACAGACTGACCACACAACACCCACACACCCACACACGACCACACAGTGTCTACGCACACACAAGGAAGTCGGCTGCGTGTGCGTGTGTCTCAGCACATGTGCGCACCTGCGTCTGAATGGACACGTGTGGCCAGAAGAGATCCGCCTGCTTGCCGCTTCTGATGTGCTTGACACAGTCGGCGAAGTTCTCGATCATCCTCTGCTCCTGCCGGCAGCCCTGGAAGCGGTAAGTGTCGATCCTCGACGCAACGCGGCAGTGCCGATCGATGAGCGGACCCGCAACAGGGAAGGACTCCAGCTGCAGCCGCCCATACACATAGTCGGATGGTCTCTCTCTCTCTCTCTCTGTGTGTGTGTGTGTGTGTGTGTGTGTGGCACCGCACCTGAAGGGACACTTCTGCCTCTGACCGAGCGATGACAAAGTCGTCGAAGGTGATGACCCGCGTGTCACCGACGATCTCCACGTACTGCACATATGTGTGCACACACATGACATGACATGTGCACACACGGATCCGCCCGACCCCCCCACCCACCTGTCTGTTGGGATGCAGGAAGGAGCAGTGGAAGGTCAGCACGTGGGGCGGCTCCAGGGTGTCCGGCTTGGCCTCCTCGAAAACCACCTCACCCGACACGTCAAGCGGGATGCCATCCGGCGTGCACACCGATGCGCGGGCGCACACGTACGTCGGCCATCGGTACTGGAATGCAACCAACGCGATGCGGATACAGTACCTGCACAGACCAAGAGCACACCGTTGCTGATTGATTGGACAGTGCCGTGAGTGAATCGATGGGTGTTATTGGCCACGTCCATACCATCCGAGGTCGCCCACACATCCGAGTGGGTCGCCGTCTGGCCTCGTGCTGACGACCACAGCCCACATGTCTGTCTCGTGCGGCACATATCCGTGGAATGACTGACCGGATGTCGCCCCCATTAAGGAAGGCCTGGCTGCCAGCGAAGGAGAAGTTGACGCCCACGCGCTTGACCGGGCCAAACAGGGGGTCGCCGACCAGCGACGAGAGGCACTGCAGACGATCGTGGTGCATGAACATGACGCCATCCATGAATTGAAGCCCCTTGTCGCAGCACGCCTGCACGATCTTGAGCAGCTCCTCCAGATTCGTGGCGGTCGGTTTTTCAAGCAGAATGTGTTTCTTGGCCTCAGCCGCCTTCACCGCCCACTCGAGGTGGAGCCTGACCAGTGCACAACACATCACCTCCCATCCCGATGCCTCCCAAACTTCGTGTGGGCATTCGTGAGTCTCACTTGGTGGGCAGCGGGATGTAGACGGCCTCGACCAGCGGGTCGTCTAGCAGCGCCTGGTAGCCCTCGATGGCCCTGGGCAGACTGCCGGTCTTGGTCTTGGTCTTGGCCCTGGTTGCCGTGATGAACTCGACGCATGAGCTGTGTGCCCGTGATGCACAGGCTGAGATATCGGCATTTGAAGACAGCTGGATGGCCCTGACGTTCTTCTGCGCAACTGCACAGCACAGCAGAGCAGAGCAGAGCAGCATCTTGTATTGTACGTGCATTTCAGTGAATCCGAGCTCCATGTGACTTACTAGCGGCGCAGCCGACGATGCCAAAACTGACGAGATCTGCAAGCAAACACAGACATAAACACACCATCTGCAGATCTGCCATGCCACGGCAGCTTTGGCTGTCACACTGCAGCTAACATTCACCGCACCTGTTTCAGCTCCTGAAGCGGCCATCTTCTTTCTCCTGGGCGGGTGGGAAGAACGCGCATCCCCCGCACGCTAAGCTCGCAGATTTGCGAGCTGTAGTAGGCCGAAAAAAGGAGGAGGAGTTAGAAGGAGGCGTTTCTTGGGGATGTGCTGATGGACGCGCTTGCGTACATGCATAGGGGTCACAGAGATCGGCTTCAGCCGTTTTCTTGACGCTTTCGTTTGCTTGCATCTCCCTCGGGCTCCTGCATGGCGGACATGAGTCAAGGGTGAGCACACAGGATGAAACGGGAACCGCCAGCATGTCACAATCTGCAGACGTGACGTATGTTGGTGTTTCAGGGTCCCCCCCGGCTCCTCGGCGCCTCCGCCTACCGCTGCTGCGGGCGGCGCCACTCAGCCGCCAGCGAGCAGTGTACACGCGGTTCCACCGTTGCCGGGTCGGCCAATGAATGCATCCACACATGCATGAACGCATGCATGGAACGCATGGCTCCCTCCTTCCTCCTATTCCCTCAGGTCCGTTTCCACCTCAAGTGTGCGGAGGTATGCCTCCTCCGCCAGACCATGACGCCGGTCCCTCACTGGCAGCCAAGCGGCCCAAATCGAAGGCCAAGAGCAAGGCCAAGCGCAAGTCGGCTGCCACCAGCAAGAAGAGGGCCGGTGCGGCGGGCAGACAGGCGGCCGTTATGCCGCCTGTTGCTGGCGGTGATATGTGGAATAGTGCTGGTGTTGGGCCTCCTGCTGGCGCGGCTGAGGTTGTGCCTCCTATGTCGTTGGCCATGGGGGTGCCCGTTCCCATGGGCGGAGTGGCGATGGGAGGGGTGCCTACGGGGGCCAGTCAGCCCATTGGTACGGGACGAATAAAAGGCGATGAGGGCGGCATATGTGTGTGCCATTCTTCTGTCTGCGTGCAGGCGAGCCTTCATCGTCAGCTTATGAGGCAGCAGGCAGCCCCCCTGCTGTGGCCGGCGGGGGCCTTCGGATGCCCATGTTCCTCCCCTCCAGCCCTCCCGCCCATCCCCACCTGCAATTCCCCTCCTATCGCGGCCCTCCCCCGTCCTTCCCCCCACACATGCCGCCACACAGGTTTCCCCCACCCACTCTGCTGCGGGGCCGCTTCCCAGCGGCAGCAATGTCATATCCGCCCGGCCCGCCCCCTCCCTATTTCTTCCCACCGAGGGCCATGGTGGTCGACACGCGGCCGGCAGCACCGATAGCACCACCGGCAGCCAATGTGAAGATGGAGCAGGCGGCGAGTAGTGCTGTCGCTGGGGAGCAGCCCGCCGACAATAAAGTGTCGGCTGCTGCTGCTGCTGCTGGTGGTGGGGAGAAGCCGACTTTGCCGGACTATAACGGTGGACTGGTCAGTGAAATCCACAGATGGATGGATGGATGACACGTATGTATATGTGGGTGGTTGTGGCTGGTGTGTCCTTGTGTGTGTTCAGTCGTTGCCGCCCCCACTGAATGCGTCCGAGCGGATCCGGGAGCTCCACGAAGCACTCATGAAGAAGGCAAGTCCATGCTGCACACGACGCACCGACCGACCGTCTTGACTGACGTTCACATCAGCATGGGTATGTGTCTGCTTTCAACGTCAGGACGCGGAGGGCAGCGATTCGTATCTGCAGGCGCTCGAGAGGCTGCCGGGTGTCATTCGGCTGCAGAAGGCCAACGAACTGGAACTACTCGCATACCGACTGCAAGTTGAAGCTAGTGAGTCAGCCGACCGAGTACCAATTGTCACACACACAGACACACACACCTTCTTCGCTGTCGTGTTTCAGACGACGAGATGGCTCGCGGGAAACGCCTTCGCATTCTGCACACCGACACGGACAATGACGAGAGGCCCGAGGGGCGAGGGGCGAAGCGGACTATTGGGGAGAGGGACAGATGAGGGCTGCTGGCTTGGTGAGTGAGAGGAGGAGGGTCGGCTCAGACACTGTAGACGGTGTAGCTCATGTGTTGGCGATGAGACGAGATGAGATGGTCGGGGGACACAGTGTATGGTGTGGTGAATATATAAGTGGTGGACAATCTTCCTTGGATGCGCGTGAATGCGTAATGATGGGAAGGACGCTGTCGTCTTTTCTGCCTTGGAAGTCTGCTCCTCCGTAATGCAGTGATCTTGAGACACTCGGCGAGACACACATCGCTGGCCGCATGCAGAATGTGGGGGCTGGGTGGGGGCGATGACTGGACGGTGACGGTGACGGCGGCGAGGAGCATGAAGAGCGGCAAGAAAGCCCAGAGAAAGGGCGAATCTCCTCCACCAGTACCATCCATCTGCCCTCAAGACTCTAAGGAGGCGCTCCTCCCCATCCTCAACACAGCTGCTGTGGACGCTCAAGTCTACTTCCAGCAACTGCCGGCCTTCCTTAACCAAATCGATGCGCATGCCATCTCGGAGGCGTGTGCGCTCTTCGACTCGGTGACGCCGTCAATCATTCCTCTTATCGCGTGCATCTTCTATGAGGTTGAGTGCTTGAAGCCGGCGGACGCACTGCCAGAGAACGGCGACCAGACCAAAAGAGATGCCAGCAAGGGCGCTAAGAGCAGGAAGAGGAAGGCAGTTGAGCCGACCATCAAGGTGGCCGACGCGGCCGATGTGTCGGCATATCTATCCGAGCAAGAGAGGATATCTATCAGAACGTTTCTCGAGAGGGCGAGGGACTTCTTCTGCAGGGGGGTCTTCGATTACCTTGAAGATGCGTACGTGGAAGAGCAATGCGAGGCGTTCCGGGTATGCTTCACACGACGACCTTCGATGGACACGTGTTTCTTTGGTATTTGCATCATCAGGTGGCCAAGACAGAGCCTCTGTTGCAGCTGCTCAAGGACATTGCGGCCGATGTCAAGGACAAGTCGGACCTGTCATCTGAGGACCTGCGACACAGGCGCGAGACACTGAAAAGAAAACAACTAAACAAGTACGTGGCTTCAGAATTGCCTTTTCTATGGAAGAAATATACACATGTGCTTCTGTATGATGTAGACTCTTCGTGTTGGAGCAACTGCGGGCCTTTAGAGCAGGAGAGGGTGCCCTGCTGACGAATGCAAAGGATGTCGCAGACAGTCCAGAAGTGCGGAAACAGCTGGAGGTGGGAAGAAATAGGTCTTCAATAGAAAGAGCATTGCTGCTTCCTCTTTTCTCAGCGTCTATACCGTCGTCTCATCGCCCATCCTGTCCAAGCGACGTCCCCTGCTGAGCCAGACAAGGCTGCAGCACTCACGTCGCAGCCCCCCATCTCGCCCACCACACCGATTAGTGCTGCATTCGCATCCCTAGGGTTCAGCCCAGACACAAGCCCGCTGGCCAAGCGAGGGACAGTGCAGAGACGACAGAGCCGCGTCACCTTCGGCAAGTACTCTGATACATCGGCATCGGGGTCGGCCCAGGGCAGCTGCGGCTGGGACACTTATGAATGGTCCGGCGCTTCCCCTCAGCCAATCATGTCTGGATGGAGTGGGGCGTACGACTCAGCAGACAGGATCCTCACCCTGGAAGACAGGAATGAATTCGAGGCGAAGAAGAAATCAGGCCGGTAAGTACCATGCACCTATAGCATATACAGGCTTTTGTAGGTATTTGCCCGTTTCTGTTTGGTCAGGCTATGGACAGATCAGCCTGAGACACAACCTGGGGCACAAGAGAGCCCCTCTGCCAGCTCCGTCTTTTCCCGTGCACCCACGAGCATCTCCCTGCTTTCCTACACAGCACCGATCCCCATGACAGGGGGCAAAGAACACGATGACGATAGCAGCCCCAAAAGCGTTCTCAAAGTGCCCCGCGCGGCAGCAGAGGGCGCATATGCCGCTGTGTCTTCAATGCGGGACATGAGTGAGCGCTTTGCGGCCTGGTTGGCGGGCAAGCAGAAGCTGTGTAAGTGAGAACACACACTACAGCACACATAAGCACAGTGGCACTTCTTCCATCCGTCAGGTGTTGAGGTGCCGAGGCACGCCGGGCAGGAGAAAGAGAGGGACACCGTGGTGATCGTGGGGGACAAAACGGACCTGCTGAACCAGTGCCCATATTTGGAAGAGATCTTGTTGGAGCAGAGACAGAGGCACGAGGAGCTGCGGGAAGCCGTCCATGAGGGGTGGGTAACAGTGGGCAGAATGCTCATCAACTATTCGGTATCATCTAAACACGTGTACTCCATCTCCCTTCCTTTTCGCTGAAGGGCTGTTCGTCGTCACCACGAGATGACGGCAGGTTTTCTGGATGAAGGAGAGGCCCCGCAGCGGGCCAAAGAGGGAGGCATTGAGAAGCTCAAGAAGCTGAATGCTGCCGACGCGGGTAAGACACGAAAGGGGAGAGTTTGTTGCTCGAGTTGCATTTTCGTCTTTCCCTTATCGTGCAGACTTCTCCACTCTTGTCGACTACATACTCAAATACCTCCTGACAAACTATGGATCCATCAAGAAAGGCTTTGAGGTGCAATAGTCTCCATCACAGGAGCCTTCTGGATACCTTCCGTCTTCGTGTTGTCTCAGAGTCTCGACGTTAACGAAGATGGCACGCTGGACATGGTCGATTTCGAAGAGACGATGCGACAGTGGGGCATCAACAAGAATGCAGCCCAACAAATTTTCCTTGCGGTAGACAAATTGATTCGTGTGCGCCGCTTGGCGATCCAACATGTCTCGTCGTTCTGCGTTGTAGGTAGACGTGCGTCAAGACGGGGAGATCGACCTTGCAACGCTGCAGAGGTTCTTTCGTTGGCAGCTCACCGAGGAAAGCGACGCACCTGTCATGTCTCTGGTCGATCAGTTCGGAAGTAAGTCATGCGACGGCTGCCTGCCCATCGCACGTGTATCGCGTGTCTGCCTGTCCTTCAGAGAGTGATGCGTCGCTGCTGATGGAGATTCGTGAGAAGCTCCTGCTGCGCTATGGTAAGGTGGAAGGTGGCGAGCCTCAACTGGTGTCCAAAACTCTTGTTCTATGGTAGGGTCTGTTGCGCGCGCCTTTAGCATGATCGATGTCAATAAGGACCAGGGGCTATCGCAAGAAGAGTTTATCAAGGCTGCAGGACGCATACGCATCTGCAGAGAGGGTCAGGGGGAGCAACGAATGCCTGGTATGACGTTTAAATGGTTGTCCGTGAATGCAGACGGGATGCGGCTGTTTCAGCTGATGGACCTCGACAGGAGCGGCACGGTCGACATGAGCGAGTTCCAGACCGCACTCAAAGACCACCAGCTTGACATCACCGGGTTCACCTCGTTCGAAGACTCGGCACTTCTCTCAGCCTTCAGACTGAAGTTGCTCAAGGTGTACGGCTCCCTCCCGGCAGCTGAGGACGCCTTCCTTGAAGCACTGACACCTTCGCCCTCGATGAGGCGGAGGCGATCAAAGCTCATGGGGCCCTCACTCATGATGGGAGCGACGGTCACTGCTGCTGGTGGAGACGGGCAAGGGCCGGGTGGCATCGACGGCGAGAATCGTGAGATCAAGTACGGCAGCACACTGTCACTGATGGACTGGCTGGACCTCGTGCAGGAGCTGGCTCTGCGTAAGAGAGGGAAGGGGGGGCAAGAAAGGGCAAGTGCATATGTTGGTTCACCGCAGCCATGAGTGAGGAGGAGGCAACTGCCGTCCATTCTGTGCTCGACAAGACAGAGTCGGGGAGCATCGCACTGTCGTAAGTGATACTTGTGGGAACGCTGAAGGCGATCCACCCTCCTCATCCATGTCTCCGTGTATGTCAGCGCTCTTTTCGCCGCTGTACGTGGCGGAGTCCTGCGTGAAGGCGAACAAAAAAGCGTCGTCCCCTCATTCCTGACGTAAGCAGCTCAGTCAGAAAGCCTGAAAATCCGCTAATCGATTCCTGAAACGCATGTACTTATGCAGGGATCATCACTTCAATCAGTTCTTGGATACGTTTAAGGTACGTCAATGGACGCCAGCGGGGCAAGAAAGACCTCACCACCTGAAAGCAGGCACCCGAGAGCGAATTCATTGCACACAAGCTGCGAGAAATGCAGACCGTCCTGCCCTCCTTCTGCAAGGTGACTTGTCTTGCCCGCCTTCGACCCTCACACATGACCCATCCTTCATCTGTGGCTCTGTTTGCATAAGGATGTCCGCACCGAGGCAATGCGCGAAGTCGAGGAAGAGCTGCAGCGGCAGAGAAGCGAACTTGATAACCTTGAGGTGAGAGATAACCTTGATGAGTACTCACGCCACTCTCCGTCTGTGGAATCGATCAGTCAGGCGGAGGCAATGGTTGAGGCCACAGCATTCGTGTCGGACCACTTCGACCGCCTCATCGAGAGCATCAACAGGCAGCGAGACAAGACACTCAAAGCCCTCACTGTGCACCTGCAGACACTCACACACATGCACAAGACCAGGCTGGAAGACGCACAAAAGCGTGTCAAAGAGGCAAGTAGAGACACGACGGCAGATGCCAGCGGGCATATACCGTGTTGTTGTCCGCGAGTCCGTGCAGACGTGGAGCGCTAAGCTGCAAGAGTGGGAGGATGCAGTGACCCACCTGACCGACAAGGCAGCAATGGAGGAAGAGGCGAAAGTAGGAATTGACTTGCAGTGCAGGTACACATGACTCGCCGGTCGTCATGGGCTGTGTCTCTCCCATGCAGGCCCACGACCACTTCCCGTCTGGATGGGATTGCGTGCAGTTGCTCAAGCTCAGCTGCTGGCTGCGGTGTGATGTCAAAAACCGCCTCATATACCACATCGCCAACACATTCGCCGACGTCGCCTTCCACGCGAAGTGGCAGGAGACCGAGACGGAGCAGTACGTGACACCTGACGTGCTGAGGGAGATCATCTCGCGGGTGCCCATCAACACACTCTCGTAAGTGATCACTTGAGCTGTGTGCATCCATGGAGCGTCCCTGTCTGTCTGCAGTTCGTTATTGGAAGAGTGGAGAGTCAGAGAGAAGGAGATGGCACGCCTGAGCGTCTCAGAGGTCAGGAAGGAATCGGGGCTGACCTTTGCTCTGTCGGAAGAGGAGAAAGCCAAGCGCGCGCCGCAGTGGTCCCTCAAGCCACTGATAGACAACGAGATCCGTGACCGTCGACTGATGGCCGAAAACTTGTACAAGTCATGGTCGTTGCCGGTGCTCAAGGCGGCCAGATTGAGGGGCCAGGAGGAGTTCCCAGACCTCCTTGAACGCGAAATACACCACAAGACACGGCGAGGACAGGTGGGAACACAGCTGGACACACATGCCTTCTATGTGGCCTCCCCTCTCTGTCCCAGATCCGGCTCTACAGCGAGCCACGCGACGCAGTGGACATAGACGGCTACGTAGCTACGCTTGCGTGCGATAAGTAAGTGACGCATGCAGGACCATTCTCCCCACGACACTGGATATGGATTGAAATCGGTGCAGACGCTATGCCACTGTGCATGCGACGGTCGAGTGCACTGCCCAAGAGTTGCAGAAGGCAGATCGCGCCTTCAAGCCAGCGGAGGAGCACCAAACGGATGATGCACAGAAGCCCGGCCCCATGCGGCGAGCGGTAACCGTGCGTCTTGTGGATGAGGGGGCACCCGAGCCTTTCCGAGCAACAGCCGGGCCAAAGAAGACAGGACGGGCTAGGCTGCAGACAAGGAGGACGGCCGAGCTGATTCTCTCGATCCCTCCGGTGCCCTCTCAGCCCCCTCCACGCACATTCCGATCTTACTTCGAGGTGGAGATCCTCTCACTCCCAAACCTATACGGCGCTTGGGGACAGGTCTGCATCGGCCTGGACGCACCTCGGGTCACTCAAAATGACGTCAATCTCGCTCTGCCGGGGCAGGAGGGCCTCCCCTTCCCCCAAAAGGACAGACCTGCACAGGCAGCGACAACACAGAAGGACGGCTATGTCAGCCCAGAGGCAGTGTCGGACGAGACGATGCTGCACATGACCACACTTGCACAAGGGGAGGAGGCGGGGACATGTCAGCAGGAGGGAGAGCAAGCGCCCCGCTCTCCGTCATTTCCGTTCAAGCCGGATCTGTCTGAGGCGAAGAGTGTGGGCAGCAGGGGCGGCGTGGTACTGCAGACCAATGGGGTGCTGCATGCATTCGGAGAGGGCATAGACACGGGGCACAAGCTATCGACGGGAGACACTCTCGGCATCTATGTCGACCAGCGAGGGAGGGGGAGGTCGAGGAGACACCGGCCGTATGTGCTCTTCACCGTCAACGGGATCGTGTTGGAGGGGCAGGAGTTGGTCGAGAGGAGGAGATTCCAGCAGCAGCAAGAGGATGATCAAGCTGCAGAGGAGACAGGTATGTGGGTGCGCGCAGAGAGAAATTTCGAGGTGCGGGGTGATGTGTCGCGCATGTCTCCATGCAGATGGTGACGATGAATACCCTGCGGACGACCTCCGTGCGTCTTTCCAGCGCGAGTCGTCAGCTTCTCGCCCATCGCCGCCCGGCATCCCCATCCCCAACCCGCAGCAGTACGTCCTCATCCCCTGCGCGTGTCTCTATCAGATCTTGCCGCCCTACCACGCCATCGACGAGACCAAGCTGAGCATCAAGGAGGTATGCAAGAATGACATTCAACGCATGCGCATATGGACGGATATACATTTGTCGTGTCGTGGTGTGCAATCTTCTCAGCGTTCGTCTCTGAAGGAGCTGCTGTCCCCCTGTGCTGTCCGATTCAATCTCAGCGGCCCTTTCAAGTACCGGCCGGGCAACAGTGTGGCGGGGTATGGCTGGGAGCCATTTGACCTCAATCGAGATGACATGGGGGATGAGGGCAGTAGCATTGGCACGTTGGACTTTGGCACCTAAGTTGTTGGACCAATGACTGCCGGAGAAAAGCGCCGTGACGAACACGTTGTGGCCACTTGTCATGTGTATTGAGTGCTCTCATGTCCCTCTCTCTATATATAGGCGTCCATCCGTCCACGCATGAATGGCCTTGTCGCGTTGAGTGAGATTGTGCGTCGCTACATGTCTGTGTCGGTGTCAACTTTCTGACGATGCTCTTCTGTATGGGGCTTTTCCGCCCGGTGCGGCAGAACGGCCCCACGTGGCAGCGGAAACCGGCACCAACACGGCGCCCCTCAAGGAAGAAATATATATAGGTCTACACAGAGAAAGTGCACGAGCCGCTAAGGTATACATTGACACGGCCGAGGAAAAAGGCCGCATCTTTTCTGTCATTCGCCCACCATCCGCCCCCGACAGGTACACACACGCAGAAGGCCTAGTGTGTAGGGCACCGAACGGACAAACTCTCGTCTCGTAGACAGACCACAGGAACCTTTCACACATCCTTCCGCCCGCCCCAAAGCAACAAGGAAACTGACACGTCACTGGTTGTCGAAGTTCATTCTCCTGGTGTGTCCGAGCCACACACACACACAAAAACACAAATGCGAGTTGGGTGATGGATGAGTGCGTGTGTTGAGGACTGCTCACTTTGGTCCGCCCTCGAACCGGCTCATCTCTTCATCAGCCACGTAACACTGCAGGATGGTGTCGGCAGCAAGGCCCCAGCAGTGCAACAGCAACGTACTCACCAGCCAGCTCAGGATGACCACCTGAATGATCGATCAACCACACACACCATCAACACACATGCACGGCCGTGTTGGTGCGCTCGCTGACCACGATGAGTGGCGCCTCCGTAGACGAGAGGTTTTCCCTGTAGTATGGGATGTGTTGCAGCGCCAGCAGTGCGAGGAAGCTGTTGGCGAGCACGATGGCCACCTGACCGATGATCTCAAACACGATACCCAGCTCGCCCACCAGGGCAAACTTTAAGGGGTTCCTGACGATAAACATATATACACCTATTGGCCCGGCATCTCTCTGTGTGAGCTGTCTTGTGTTGTGTTGTGTTGTGTTGACGTACCTCAGCATGAGTGTGAATGCGGTCCATGCGGATGGTATGAGGCCCTGGCCAGTCAATCCCACCTGGATGTAGGCGAGCTTGCTCATGTACTTGATGCCCTCGTACACCCAACTCAGGCCGTTGCCTATCCTCAGGAAGAACCTGACAGCGCACAGCACAAAGGGGTTGCTGGCATTGACACACCGACAGATGGTCTGCCTGCGCACCGCTGAAAGGCATTGTGTCTGTCCTGGATGTCTGTATGCCGATACCACCGAACCAGAAACCGCAACACCTGCACACACGCATCGGCAATCGACACAGTGCTCGAATCCAGGGACCATGGCGTCCACAGGCTCCCTCACCCGCAATGGCGCGAGGATGAGTCCGCCGAGGGCAGCGGTGCCGAGGTGTGATTTGAGTGTGGTGAAGAGGCCGTCCAGCGTGGCGCCCTTGACGTATCGCCGCCCGCCGGTGGTCAGCGGGGCGAAGTACCAGCTGCCAACAATGTGTGCGACGGCGATCTGCGAGATGCCTGTGATGAACCCCCCTGTCCATGCGAACATCAGAATCTCAAACACCAGAGCCCACTGACGACACACAGACCATACACATCACATGGATGCAGCGGTGGTGTCAGTGCCTCCGTGTGAGATTTCATGCCTACCGGTATGTCGGCTGTCCAGTGCAGTCTGTGGTAGGGGTCTTTCCTGCCTTCCGCAGAGCCGTTCCACCCCAACTTGGGAATGTCACCTGATCATTGACCACATCAGACAGACACGTGATAGATAGGTCGAGTGCAGGTCTGTCAGGGCGGGCGGGAGAATGAATGCACCTACCGGTGGATATCTGATACACGAGCGTTGAGGCCATGAAGACAAAGAAAGCGAACGCCACAGAGAAGGTCGCCAGCGAAATGCCCAGCACCGACGGACAGTCCTGAACAATAAGGCACAGAACAGACAGAGGGTATCTTGCTTCCGATGTATCTATCTGCCGTGTGTGTGGCTCGGCTCACATCGAGGAAGTTCGACGCAGCAGAGAGGATCCGCGCGGCCAGCACCAATCGCCTGAAACAACCACACGCACACATGCACACGAGACGAGAGACGGACAAGGTTCTTTTTTTTCTCGGCTCTGACCTCCTGATGCAGCAGATGATGATAGGCAGTATCCCGGCGCCGCACCAGAGCAGTATGGCGAGTATCATGTCCCCCTGCTGCTTAGCCGCGTGGTAGCCTGGCGTGGCCGCGGGAGTGATGGCCTGGTGGTATTCATACCATCCAAAACCGAGGAGCAGGATCTCGATGAGGAAGAAGGACGCCCACACCATGGCACTCGCCAGCTTCTGCACCAGGAACAGATAGACGTAACCCAACGCCAGCGCGCCGAAGGGGGACGCCAGCAACAGCTGCACGCACGAAGAAGACGACAGACGCCGCGAGAAGAATCAACACATGCAGCGTGTGTGGTTTCCCGTGTTATGCATCGATCGTACCACCCATGCCTTGCAAATGTCCCCAAACCAGATGAGCCACGCCGACATCAGCTCGTGAGAGAACTCCGTGTCAGTGTCGCCGCCCCCCTTCCCCTCAGCGCGCGAGTCGTAAAAGCAGTACCGCCCAATGAACTCCACCGTACCCATCTGGCCGTACCACGTGCAGAGCTCTTTGCTCTCCGCATCAGGTGGGCACTGGCCCTCCTCCCTCTTGAGTGAGAAGTTGTGTGGACAGCTCTTGGTGCAGACGGGAAGCACCTGGCTCGCGCCGAGTTCCTTTGACGAGGGGAGACGGATGGGGTTCTTGGCGGGCCAGTAGACGAGAGGGAAGTCCTTGACGTCGGCATCGGAGCCGCATATCCTGCCGTTGTAGTCAATGCCGCGGGTGAGGCGGAAGGGGTTGCCCTTGGTGAAGGCGTGGGAAGCCACAGCGATGAGCCCGCCCCACGCAAGGACGAAGAGGATCAGCACAACGATGTCCGTGCACCCTGATCTGCACACACACAGCGCCACACGTTTCATGGGGGATCCATCCATCCATCCCCGGGCCCATCAGTGTACCTACCTGTAGAGCGGTCCTTCAGCGATGTCCATCCTGCCGCCCTTGGTGAATGGCTCCCCCAGGTGTGCCTGCCCCTCCAGCTCCACATACCGCTCCCTGTCGCCCTCTAGGGCGCCGATCGATAGCCGCATGTCCCTCACACTCCGCCCTCCAGGGCCGTCACCTCGACCAGCCGCCAGCAGCTGCACACGACTCGAGTCGCCCGCTCCTGCTGCTGCACTGCCGCTGCCGGCGTTCCAGCCATATGGTCTGTCTTGTGGAGGCCCTGGTTCGCGCGTGTAGCGGAGAGGGGCACCTGCAGTTTCGTCAGCCAGGGGGGATGACATGAGCTGTGTGGCCGTGTTGTGTGTGTGGTTTGTGCTGGAGTAACTGCGATGGTGCTTCCGTATGTCTGTGTGCTGTCTTGGAAAGGGTTGCTGCTGCTGTCTTGCCCGTTGGCTTCGCCGCCCATCGGCCGGTAGGGCACCTGAACACACGAAGACGACTGAATGCACGATGGTGCGACAGATCTCTGCACCTTCTAGCTCACCTGCGACTCGCCATTCTCATCAGCCCTACAACACAAATGCAGCACAGGCACAGGTCATGGGTGCATCGTGCTCGTCCGCGTTGGTGCTCCTCTCTCAGTCAGTGAGTCAATATCACCCACCTGTCGCCGAATGGGTTGGTCGTTTCATCGTATGTCCGCTCCAGGTCTTTTGGGAACAACGACATGGTTTGATCGCCCTAGATCTTTTCTGCCTGATTGTTTCCTTCGCAACAAGGAAGCTCGCAAGCCCTAGGGTGCTCCCTGAAAGCCCTAAACCACAGCGTTTGACTCCCCGAAACTCCTTTCGGCGCACCATACGCTTTGGCAGCAGACTCGTCAATGAACGCCTTTCAGGATCTGATGCGAATTCAAACTTTCCGCAGCTGCCGCAATGCCGCAAGGGCGTGTCAGCGGCTCAACATGTCAACACAGGCGGCAGGTGACTCATCCCGGGCGTCCCCTGCCATCACCAGCGGCACAGGCGACATCTCATCCACTGCATTCTGGGGCCGCACAAGCATCACAGCCCAGGTAGGTGCGGTGCGCTGACACACACAACCACACAACCACAACCACATCTCTCTTTACGCGCATGAGTGCAGGTAGGGGTGTCTGTGTGTGTGTGTGTGTGGTGCAGTTGTGGGCTGAGAGGCGGAAGGCGCTGGTGGACATACCAGATCCAACATGTGCTTCGACGCCCGGGGCGATAAAGCACCGGTTGAAGGACGACAAGACGGCGGCCGAGTCGAGAGTGGTGCTCAGCCTGCCCCTCAAGTCAGGTGAGCAATGTGTCAGTGGAGTGGGAGCTTCCCCTGCAGTGCAGCGACGTGTTTGCGTGTGGTTTGTGTTTGGCTTGTGTGAGTGCAGATCCTCTCCTGCGGCAGCAATATGAGGTGAAAGCAGCACAACACACCACTGCACAGACGACCTTGTTTGTGTGTACGTCTGCGCACTCGTTGTTTATCTTTGTGCACACAGAACTTTCGGTGACTTGACAGCCTCCCTCCCTCCCTCCCCCACACACGTACAAGAGAGGATGATGGGGAACTGTGCCCCTCCACCTGGCCTGCCTGCCTACGTGTGCGTGATTGCTCAGGGGAGGTGTCCGGTTTGGAAGGATCCTGGAGGACATGGTGAGTAACGCCCGACCAGTGTCGCTTCTGCTCTGTTCATGTCAATGCCTGTTTGTCCTTCTGCGGTTGGTTGTGTGTGCTGTTGTGTAGGATGCCGTGAGCGGCAATGTGGTGTTCCACCACACCCTCCCCCGCCACCTCTCGCTCGTCACAGCAGCCGTCGACAGGCTGGACCTGCAGGAACAAATTCCACTCGGTCGGTGATGGATTGAGCAGCGTGCCAGCTGTCGACGCGTGTGTGCGCTTCGCTTCGTTGGCCGTGTCGTGAACGTAATGTGTAGATGAGGACCTTGAGTTTCGCGGCCGGCTGACCTGGTGTGGGCGGTCCTCAATGGAGTGTCAGGTGGCCCTGGTGTCTGTGGGTGCGTCGTCTTGCCTGTCATCCTACCTCTGCAAAGCCACTTTCGTCTTTGTGGCACTTGACCCGCAAACCGGCCGAAGCACCAAGGCACGCACCTACACAGAGACAAGCCAGCAGCTAGCTGCAGGGCTGACTCTCTGTGCGAGTGTGTGTGTGTGTGTGTGCGTGTTGATTCAGGTGCCCACGTTGATAGCTGACGATCCTGACGACGAGCGGCTCTTCAGCGAGGGGGAGCAGAACAAGAAGAGACGGAAACATCAGCAGGAGGTTAGTACGACCCGCAAAGATCTTTACACACACACATCACCTCTCTCCATGCGTGGATGCGTCCTTTGCCAGCATGCATTGGAGCATCGGCCGCCATCAGAGGCTGAAATCCACCTCATACACGAGTTCTTCAGGTCGGCCAGAAACATGTACCAAACACTATCCCCTCTTGATTTATCTCGTGCGCACGTGTGGCGCGTCAGGCATCGGGCGCAGTTGTTCCAATCCGTGCAGCCCATCCAGAGAGGCTGTGACGCCACCACGTCGTCTGCCTTTATCGAGGAGTCGTGTCTGCCCTCACCCCCACAAACAGGTGAGCCAGCTTACATCCACGAATTTATCACATTGAATGACCCATCTCAATGTGTGTGTGTGTGTGCAGGTGGGGCGAGTGCTTTGGCGGGGGGTGTTGATCGCGGTGATCCCTTCGTGAGCCTCAAGAGCACCCAGATGCAGTCGGTCGTCGTCTGCCATCCACAAGAGAGAAACACCAGGGTATCACACACACAGACAGCACACCACTGTCACACGGCGATGCTCCCTTGACATTCCATCCATCGTCCCTTAGGGCAAGATCTTCGGCGGCTACCTGATGCGACAAGCCTACGAGTTGGCCTTCTCGACGGCCAGCATGTTCTTCGGCCCCCTGGCCACGGTTCACCTGTACGCCGCGGACGAGATCGTCTTCCACCACCCAGTGGAGATCGGCAGCGTCCTCACCTTCACCGCCAAAGTGGTCTACACGCCAATCGACAGTGGCGACAGTGGCAGTAGAGGCGGATCATCGCGGGTGCAGCCGCCCTCCCTCGCTGACCATGCATGCCAGGTGCCTCACTACACACTCACACACACACACAGCGAGAGAGGGAGAGGGAGAGGGAGAGGGAGAGAGAGGGAGAGGAGCTCTATGCAAAGTCATGTGCGTGTGTGTGCAGATGAAGGTGGCATGTTTGGTGACCCATTTCGGTCAGAACAAGCAGTACCTGTCCAACACGTTCCACTTCACATTCACTTCCTCCCTCAACGGCCAGGGTCAGGGGGCTGCCGGCACTGGCAACGGTTGCCAGGGGGTGCACGTCCGGCCTGAGAGCTACGAAGAAGGTACAAAGGAACGAACAGCAAGACATATGTCACACATCGGTCATGTGCTTGTGTGGTTGTGTGGGTGTGGTTCAGCGATGGAGTGGGTCGACGGGCGGCGCCGCTTTCTGCGCAGCAAGGCCCTCAGCGAGGGCATGCCCACAGAGGAACTTACGTGACGGTGTCATTATAGTGTGGATGTTCCGTAGACTTTTTCGATGTCCTTCATGATCATGCTCTGACAGGACAGTCGTCAGCGTCTCTTTTGTACCACACTTGACTGCAATGCATTCTATGGCATGCTATTGCTGGTAGGGAGCAATGACAGCTCTCATAGCGTGACGTGTGTGCATCTCAATGGCTAGGCGTCTCTCTCTGCAACTCTCCGAGCAAAGGAGCACTTTTTGCTCGGAGCGCTTCTGCTCCCCCAGCTGAAGGCAAAGACTAAATCGCTCACGAAACCCAGCAAATCGTCACGCACAAATCGTCACCACATGCACCACCCTGTCACCGGCCGAAGCACCCCGCCACACGCCTATCAACTCCCCAGGCCAGGGAGGGATCCTATCGTCCGATGCATCGTCACCATTTCTCGACGTAAGGCCGCATCTCCTGCTCATGGCTCCACGCAGTCTTGTCCTGTGTGTGCAGGGACCAGTAGGTCTCAGCCATCGCGTCGGGGTTCAGCAGGCTGTCGATGGGACGGTCAGGCTGCCTGCACACACACAATACGTGACACGCTCACATGCACGTCTTCTTGTCGGCCGACGTGTGTGTGTGTGTGTGTCCAGATCTCTCTGCTTTTTTTACATCTCTCGGATTTTCGGCGTATCGATTTGTCCGTCAACAACCGCAAGCACACCACCCACACACGAGTGGCCGTCCACCTCCCTCTCTGTATGTGTATGTGGTGGTTTTGAGGTTGCCTTGCTTACTGATGTGTGCCACGTGTATGCCTTCGGGCATCAGTTCTCTGGCCATGCACTGCGCCAGCGCCCGGAGGGCAAACTTGTGCACCGCAAGGTTGTAGAAACTCTTTCCGCCTCTCAGGCTGGCCGTCGCACCCGTCAACAGAATTGTCCCTAATCGACAGATGCCACACACAGACTCATTAGTGCATCCATCACTTCTGTGCGTGTGTGTGTGTGTCTGTCTGGAGGGCCAATGACTCTGACCCTTCTTCTGCGCCGTCATGGCGGGAACGACCTCTTTGGATGCGATGAAGGCGCCCGTGCAGCCCACCTTCATGTTGGTCTCGAACTGGTCTGTGGGCGTGTCCACCAGCTTGGCAGGGGGCCATGACGTCCTGCCGCCCGCATTCCACACCTACCCAACCAATGTGCACATACATCTTCGCCAACTTGCCGTCGTAGTGTGCCTGTGTTTCTGACCAGGACTTCCACATCGCCAAGCCTCTCGCGAATCGTGCGAAAGGCCTCCTTAATGCTCGGCTCGCTGGTCCCGTCAGCAGGCACACACAAGGCCTGACCACCTGGCGCCATCCGTACAGCATGCACCTCCTGAGCTGCAACGCTTCTACATGCCTTCCTTTTCGATGGCCTCTTTGACGGGGCTGAGGTTGTTCATATCTCGCGACATCAGCGCCACCTTGTAGCCACCACGGGCGAACCGCCTGCAGACACACACAACAAGACAGTCAGGCAATGGCAAATTGGCAATGGCCACCCATCTTTCCCCCTCTGCGTACCTTGCGACGGCTTGCCCGAGCCCCGGGCCCACTCCAACGACCACGGCACATCCAAAAGTCGCCACCACTCGCACACTCACTGGTTTTGCGTCAGATCCTAAGCGCCGGAGATCCCGCCTTTCAAAACTTCCCCGGCAATTCATGTCTCAAGACAAACTGACCGATACTCGATTGAGACACTTCCATGCCATGATCATGCTACCACAGTAGTCATTGCATTCTATTGGGGACATGTGTGCATCTAGCGAAGTGTCGCTCTCTGTCTGACGAGAGGCCGGGTGCGGATTAACGGCTGCAGAAACAGTGGACGCAGACGCGACAAGACAGACAGACGGCACTTTGTTGCAACATGTAAGGCTGGTGTTGTCATTTCCCTCCTATGCACCCCATGCACCAACGGGTACGTACCAAGAACGAAAAATAAGACAGATGGATCAAAGATATACAGCACGGGACAGAGAAACGGACGCAAAAAATACCGGCTGACGGACGGACATGTGCAGTCCATGTAAGTATCGATTATGAAGCTGTCGCTTCCTTCTCTTTGCTCTCGTTCTTCTCATCATCATGGTCAGGCGCTGCGCCGCCTTCTGGTTGAGCCGCCTGCTGCAGACTTGAAAACTGCATCGAGACACCCTCCCTTTGCCGCTTCTTGTCCAGCCAGGTTGACCTCACCCACAGGGCCGTGAAAAATGCACACGCCATGAACATCACAAGCGCGGCGAAACCAAATGCTGTGGGGTAATTGATCTTGTCGGCCAGAAACCCCGCACACGGCGGGCCCATGAGGAGTGCCACCCCGATACCCATGTAGACAAACCCCAGAGCACATGGCAGCTGGTCCTTGCCGACGATATCGGCACATATGACGGGCGTGAGAGCGATGTACGCGCCGGAAGAGACACCGAATACCACGGCGAAGACCATCAGCCGGGCAACGTCGGTGGCGACGGCGAGGAAGGCGATGTCGAGAGCCATCAGTGTGGTGCCAATCCAGTAGATGCGAATGTGCCCAAACACATCTGCGGCCTTGCCAACGAGGCCTCGGCCGACAGTAGAGCCAGCACCGAAGGCCGTGACGCATAAGGCGGCCTTAGATGAAGATAGGCCGTTCTCCATGCCCCTGCATCCAATCCACGCAGAGACATGAGACCAGACGGAGACATGTGTGTGGGCGCCTCGCCTCACCATGCGGGCAGGTGTGCGAATGGGGAGAAGTAGGCAAAGCCTCCACAGAAGCAGCCAAGGAAAAGCAGGACAAACCTCGAGTCGCGGAAGGGGGAGACATCGAAGTGCATGGGGGGCAGCAGCCGCATCAGGGAAGACTGCTTCTTCAGGCGCTTGGAGGGCGACTGCTGTGCAGGCACTGAAGCCTTTTTTGCCCCACAGCCACCACCCTCCTCAGCCTGCGAAGATGACGGCCTGGGGATGCCGTTACTAGCTGCTGGGTCTTCGTTCTGGTCGCCGTGTGTCTCCTCCAGCGGCACTGTCTTGAAGTACCCGGCCTGCTCGTCGATGACGACCTGCACGCCGGCCTCGTCCTCGTCACTCGCCGCACCTAGAGACGATGACGTCTCTTTGGCTGCTTGCTGATGCTTCCCATCGCCTTCGGGCTCGTGGTGCTGCCCGTGGGGTATGTTGAAGAAGAATGATGCGAAGAGAATGGCACCCGAGCACACGCCAGCCTGGAACCGGAGGGTGTCTCGCCAGCCGGCTTGGACGAGAAGAGCATTGAAGGTGGGGGCGAGGGCCAGAGTGCCGATGCCGCTGCCGCACACTGCCAGGCCTGCATAAACGCGTGTGCGGCGTGGGAGGGGAGAGACATGGCAGGAAAACAAGTGGTCTTACCTGTTGCAGTGGCCCTTGTCTTTGAGAAGTGTAGAGCGATGATCGTTATGCACGACCTGAAAATGCACACGGCACAATAAGGGGATGTGACGGTTTCTCGATGGACATGTACGTATCATAGACGGTTACATGTATGAGAGGCCGAAGCCCTGCCCCAGGACGATCCCGTAGGTCAGGAACAGCTGCCATATGTCCGTCACGAAGGAACTCAGCAGCAGACCGGCCAGCACCATCACCGTGCTGACCCTCGCCATCCTCCTGTGGCCGTAGTTCCTCACAAGCGCACCGTTGACGGCACCGAATAAGTAGAAGCAGCACACCATGATGGAATACACGAGAGCAGCCATGGCCTGAACACACACAGCACACACATGGGGAAGCGTCATGCACCATCAGTTGGCGCCTTACGTACCTTGGTGGTTCCAAATGCCTCCATGAGGAAGGGCAAGAACACGCCCTGCGGGCACAAAGAGGAGAGGAAAGACAATTGATGGCGTGATTTCTGGCACACGTATGTATGGGGTCTTTTGTCTGTGTTGAGCTGACAAATGTGTTCATGGTGCCAAGCGAGGAGAAGTGTACGAGCCATGAGGCCATCACCACAACCCAGTTGTGCCGCCAGTCATCCATCATCCTGTTGACTGCGCAATTGTCGCTGCGCTATAAAGAAGGGGCCGCTCTAGGCTATGCAGGCAGAGTGGGAGAGATCGGCAGAACGGGGAAAGAGCCACGAAGAGAGCGGCCCCCACTGCGTGCGAGCTTGAGACAGGATGCGGCCCCCCCTCAAGCTCTCGGCACGAAGGTCCAAGCGAAGGTCCAAGCGAAGATCATCATGTCACCGCTGGCGGCTTCAGTCTTCTTGTTCCTGCTGGGCCTTCAACTTCAAGTTGGCGCATTCAAGCAGCATGGTATTAGTTGGTCAAGCACCCCCCTCACATCCCCTCACTAGTATATGCATGCATCCCACTGATCCTGCATACGTGTGCACTCTCGTTCTCGCATGCAGGCCAGGCCCCTCCTGATGTCTCCCTGGCGCCCACTCAAGCGACGGCCTACCTCTGCTCGTACAAGGCGTTCGATAAGTTGCCGTCGAAGTCAGAGGAACGATACAAGAGGCACTCGTCGAGCCTCGGCAAAGGTAGTGGTCTTGTTTGTCCGTGGTGCTTTCAGAGAAATCATTGCTCATCCTGATACTTGCCTGTTCATTGCAGAGTGTTCGCCCGCCAGTCCACTGAAGCGTGCTGCAGCGGGAGTTGGCGCCGGTTTGGTCGCCCCATTCAGCGGCCTCAAGAGGGTCGGAGAGCACGCCGACTATGCCTTCGGCTTCGGAATACCCCTCTACACTCGCACCAGGTTCGACAAGCTCATGACGACAGCCCGCTCGGGGGACTCCGCCTGCACGGGGTTTGGCTTTCACTGCCGGAGCAAGGAGGATCCTGACAGCACCCCCTGTGCTGTCGGGCAAGACAAGACGGAGTGCTCCTGCTGCTACGAGTATGAGGCACCCAGTCCTGCTTAAAGGCTGAAATGCACTCAGAGCCCTGCATGCGACTGTTCGTCTCTGTTCACACAAACACACACACACACACACACAGAGAGAGAGAGAGAGAGAGACAAGATGCCTTTTTCTTTTATGGCCGGGAGACACGATGAATGCAATCACGCTCTGACTTGGAACACACAGGGCCTTCACGATGGATGGCGCACTGACTAACACTAACGAAGGGCGACGAGTGAGTGTCTTGAGTGTCAAGCAGTGACAGGAGCATTCGAAAATGTCGACGTGTACTGGCTGCGATGGCCATCGTGCCTGACGCAAACCATCTACGCATGTATTGTATGCCACACCGCACTCAACTTCCTCCTTTCTCCCTCCTTCCCTCCCTCTCTCCCTCTCTCCCTCTCTCCCTTCCTCAACGCAGACACAAACCAGCACATACAAGCCGCCCTCTTATTCTCTTGTCTGTCGGTCTGCTTGATCCCCTGTCATGCTGCTTGATCCCTCCGCCGCCTCTGTCTTCGGCGGCGGAGGTGCGGCCACATCCATCCATCCATCAACCCATCGTCCGTCAGCATGTTGGGCGGCGGCAGAGAGGGAGTGAGGGAGGTGGGGCGAGGCTGGTGGTGTTGAGGTTGTATGTGGACGTCTATCTGGGAATATGCATGTGTCTTGCTTGGATGGTAGTCTTTTCCAGTAACCCCCCGGCCCAACGTCCCTCCCTTTCGTGCATCGGAGCGACAGCAATCAGTCACCAGCTCTCTCACTCATGGATTGCACACATTCGCTCAGACAAACAGACAAACAAACACAAATATCAACCAGTCCGCCAGACTCTCAGACTCTGCTGCCTGCTCCTTCCTGTCTTTTCCGTCCACTCAGCAGTCGAGGGCGTAACGCGATGATGAGGCGCCAAACTCGCTCACAAACTGATACACACGTGATACGAGGCAGGAGACATGCAGTGGGCACCGTGTTCGACATCATGGGGTGTGTGTGTTTGCGGTTTGTGTGCTTACGTCTCCGTATGAGACGCGTCCATTTTTGCTCTTGTCGAGTCGGTTGATGAGGGCCAGCAGGTCCCTCTCCGTCACGGCAACACCGTAATTGCGCAGCGCATTCCTGAGCTCGTCGATGGTCAGGTAGCCATCCTGATCGCTGCACTCATAAGATAAGGACAAAGGTTATCCAAGTAAGTATCTGTGCATCCAGGTGTTGCGTACGCGTCGATGGCTTTGAATGCCTCAAAGAGGTCGATGCCACGCAGAGACGAACGGTGGGACTCGGCTGTCATCTCAGCCTGCAATCGGCCAGATAGACATGGAAGATCACATCACATCACACATGCAAGGTAAGAGGTGGCTGCCAGTGGCGTGTCTGTGTGTCTGTCTGTCTTGCTGGCCTGCCTGCATCAGTTGTCTGAATGTCTGTCCGATGAGTGCCCTCGTGTCGAGAGCAAACCACTGCGGCCCCGACACCTCAAGAGGGGATCGGTGGGCCGGCATGCGGTTGGCGAGCATCTCGGCATAGTGGGGATCGTGGGGCAAGAACGCGTCGGCCAAATCGGAATAGCGGAGCCTACACACGCATCGCATCGCATCCACAGACAGCAACCGATGACTGACCATCGGTTTTCGCCGTCCCTTCCACCCACCCGAGTCAGTCAGTGTTACGTTACCTACCTGCCGTCTCCCCCCTTAACGTATCGTTTGAGCAGCATGTCGACCTCGCAGTTGGTCGGGTACACGCCCACCACGCGCATGCCCTCCGTCACCTCGTACCGACTGACGCTGCCGCGGCCACACTTGTCCAGCAGCTTGTAAAAATCCAACAAGTTGAAGTCAGACCTGCACACAACACATCAACATGGCCACCAACCAGCGGATGGATGCACGGTCTAGTCTCATCTAGATAATCACCTGAGAGCCAGGTCCTGTCTGGTCCGCTCCAGCTCCCTATCGGCGATGATCTGGTCCCGTAGCACAGCCGTCACCTGCCGCACGTCAGCCATGCGGCAGGGCGGCACCAGCGGACACGTGGGCACTGGCGACGAGTACCGGAGGGCGCTGTAGGTCTGCGCCGGCTGGGTGTAGGACAGAGGCGGCGTGGCCCGGAGAGGGGGCGACCCGCCCGCCGCCCTTGTGCCAGCGTAGGAGGGAGCCGACTTGGACAGCACGGGGGCGGGTGGCGGCGCCCTGTCTTGCTCGGGCGAGGGGGAGCGCTGAGACCAAAGACGCGGATGGATGGATGAGACACACAGCAATGAGACATTCGCGTGGTCCGTACGATTTCAAGTTCACTCACCACTCGGGCTCCTTCCTCTGCCTCCTCTTCCTCCTTCTCCAGCTCACGACCTCGACGCGCAGGCGGCAAAGGCTCAGGCCGCCTGCACAAGACAGACAAGACACATGCATGCAACGAAGGCAATCCGTCATGCCTTCTCTCTGCCGCGTCGGTGCACACCCACTCGATGTCTTCCTGCATTCGGTAGGGGTACGGTGCGCTGACGGCCATGCTCACGGCGCTGCCCTCAGGCGGTGGCGGCGGTGGCAGGGGTGTGGGTCGAGCAGGCATGCTTCGTTCTAGCGGCACGCGGGGCTCGGGCGTCTTGACGCGACGGGCCATGGCACTGCTCAGGAGGGGGGAACGGTCGCGGTCAGCATAATCAGCGTAGGCACTGCGGAGAGGGCTCACACCACGGCGAGGGGAGATGCTGATAGAAGAGAGACACGAACAGACAGACGTCAGGTGAGTGCACAGATCAGATGGACATAGCGATGTGTAGTGTACCCCAGTTTGGATTGGAGCAGAAGTTTCTCCTCGTGGCGTCGCTCGCGGTCGACTCGTGAGTAGGTGAGCGGGGGGGCCTTGAAGCACGACAGGGGGCACTCAGTGGTGCGGGTGGTGGGCAGCACGGCATCCACAAACTCAACGTACGACAAACGGTCATCCTGATCTCTGCAAAGTTCCACCAGCCGAGACAGGCAGCTGTCTGTGGTCTCCCTGCATGGTTGTCTGTCTGTCTGTTTGTCTGTCTGTCTGCGTACCGGTCGAGCCTTCTGAAGAGACTCTTGATGTCCAGAGGGAGGCTGTCGAGGGCGTACTCACGATACACGCGGTCCAGACCCTCTGAGAAAGAAGGCGTGGGCAACCACAGAGAGCGAAATGGTGAAATGCAGAAGCCAGCATGTGCCGTCCTCCTTCGGCATTCACCGGGTGTGAGGTATCCCTGTTGGAATCTGTCCAGGAATCTGAAGGCGTCCAGCAGGTTGAAGTCGTAGCGGCTGAACAGCACACGACGACGCACCTCCAAATCACGATACACCTGCACATGCGCATATGAATGCCATAAGCGGCTGGCTGCTTTGTGTTGCAGTGTTGTCCGTGCATTGCCTACGCATAGCTCTCGGTGCAGGAGTGCGCCCAATGTGCGTTCTGCGTCGGGGGCCAGCCGCATTGGCAGGGCGTAGCGGCTGCGCCCGGTGGCCAACGAACGAAGCACCACATCCTGCATGAGCAATGACAGACCCACCAGCACAGAGTGGCGTGTGAGCTTCTGTTGCATCCCTGTCTCACCGAGGGCAGGATGGCGTCCAGAAACCTGTAGAGACATGAGATGACGAGAGATACGTGGCAGGGAGACATGCTGCCAGCTTACTCAGCGTATGAGACGCGGCCGTCCCCGTCCCTGTCGAAGTGTCTGACCAGATGGAATATCTCCGACTCAGCATTCACGCGCTCAACGTGATCCAGGAAATACAGGAAGTCGCTGCCTGCGCACATACACACACGCACATTAATGCAGCAACCACAGCAGAAGCTTCTCTCCCGTCTGGTTTGGTTGGCCTGCCTGAGTCACATACTTGTGAGCGATCCGTTTTGGAATCTGTCGAGGAGGCAGAATGCGGCGTAGGGCTCGAAGGTGGAGCACTCGGCCAACCGACACCGGAAGCCCTCAACCTGACAACAAGACCACAACTCCGACAGAGCATCCACTCATCACCTCCCTCCCCGTAGAGAAGCGAAAAGGAGCCCCCTAGGCTGTCTCTTTGTCTCGTCCACTTCTGACAGTGTGTCTTCCTGCCCTCCCCCCTCACGTATCGCCTCCCTACCTCCTGTTCGGCCTCCCCGACGGCCTTGAGGAAGCGCAGCAGAGAAAACTCCGACTCACGACTCAACGCCATCTTCCAGGGGCAATGGAATTCAGGTGGGCGGATACGGACGCCTCACTTCTCAGCACAAGCACAAAGTGGCCGGCCACAGGACCGGACAGTTGGCTGCCTCCGAGATGTATGGTGGATGGATGGATGTTCCCTGTATGGTGGATGGAAGGGAATGCGCCCGGGGGACCTCGTTGACGAGCTGGTGAACTCAGGCAGCGGGAAATGCGATAGAGGGCGGGGAAAGACGGGTTCAAGCGTGCAGCACCCCCACGCCCCCAGGTTTCAAACCCTAACCCTGCTCCTTGAAACCGCTGCTGCTGCGAAGTTCGTGAACGCCTCTAGCCACTACTGTGGATCAGCATGTGGCGCTTTGCACCGTCGTCGTCGCGATTGCACCGCTTTCTGATCTCGACCACTCTCAGAAGACCGGACGGCTGGCCTTTATGGCGGACAGCTGTGATGCCGCCCGCCTGCCGTCGCAGCATGTCCACAGCGGCGCCCAGCAGCGACCCCCCGTCTGCAGCAGAGAGTTGCTCGAGCCCCTCGCCGCAGCCAGCGTCACCAGATCTTGCAAGCAGTGGTGCGGCTGATCAGAGGAAGGCCACGGGTGTGGTGAATCTGAAGCTGACGCCGGAGCTGGAGGAGCGGTATGGGTCGACAAAGAGGGAGATCCACCTGATTGACAGCAGGGACGCATGTGAGGACTGGTACGGCGGGAAAGAGGGACACTCGGGGATCGAGGATGGGATGGTCCTGGGAGCGTGTGTGTGTGTGGCGGATGTGTGTGTGTGTCAGTCTGCCCGAGCTGATCTCTGCGCCGGCGATAGCTGTGGACTGCGAGGGCGTCAATCTGGGCAGGTTTGGGCGGCTGTGCCTTATCCAGATAGCCGCGGGCGATAGGGTGTTCCTATTCGACTGCCTCAAGGAAGGGGTGAGCGACGTGACACACCCACTGCAGGGCCCCTGATACATGCAGTTTGTGTGTCTGTGTGCAGATCATGAACACATTGGCTCCTGTTCTCTCCCATGCGAACATCGTCAAAGTGGTCGGTGGCACGTGAGAAGTCGACTCTGGATGTGGGGAGGGAGCTGCTGTCTGTCTGTTTGTTCCCCCCCTCCAGATGCATGATTGCCGCGAGGACAGCTCGGCGCTGCACAACCAGTACGGCATTCAGCTGCAGAATGTCTTCGACACACAGGTAAGGTGACGCCGCCCGCCCCTGCACACACACACACATATATCAGCGCATGTGTCTGTCTGTCTGCTGATGTGTGTGTGTGTGTGTGTCAAATCATATATATCAGGTGGCTCACTTTGCCTTGTTGGACCAGGATGGGTTCGCCCCCTACCAGATATCCCTCAACGACCTCCTTCTCAAAGCTCTCAAACTCAGGTGCGTACCATGGATGAATGGGTGGATGCCTCGTGTGCGCCATCTGTCTGTGGTGATTCATGCGGTGTGCCGTGATGTGTTTGTCCCGCAGCAATCGGCGCAAGTCGCCCATCACGGCCAAGATGGTGCGCGACCCCAACGTGTGGTACTACAGGCCCGTCTCGAGGGTGGGTGCACAGCACAGCACATGGACGGACGCCCCCCCTGCTCATATCGATCTCATGAATAATGTGTTGGATTGGATTGGGTGCAGGATTTGATCGAGTATGCGGTGCAGGATGTGCTGCACCTCCTGCCGCTCAGACAGAGGCTCTGCGAAATGCTCGGTAGGGAGGGAGGGGAGCAAGTGCGATGGCGTGGCGCATCGCATAAGTCCCATTGATCGTTATGTATCTATCGCTTTGTCTGTTGTAGACGACCTGCATGGCTATGGTGTGATCCGGAGGAGCCGCAACTGGGTCAACTATGCACACCTCAACCCGGTATGCTAACGCCCAAGAGACCGCCCCTCCCTCCCCACTGGGCATCTCGATTTGCTGTCTGTCGGTGGGTCTGATGCAGCACTTGAAGGCGCCCAACGACATCGAGCAGAAGGGTCTGAAGGTGCAGGCCATGTGTGTGGCCGCACACAGCACCTCGATGTACTTCAAGCTTAACTGCGACAGACAGGGGGTGGTCTCACGGCCAGACACACTCCAGAGATTCAAAGACGGTACGGTCGGCCCGGTCGGTCAATCCGTGCAGTCATGCAATCCGGTCATTGACATGTACGCCTGTCTATGTGTGTGTGTGTGGTGCAGTGAAGATCGGCGACGTTGCTGAGTGCTTCGTCACAAACTGGAACCTCACTGGTCGGCCAGCCAGACACACGCGCGCGCACATAGACCCACAATACGACTGACATGAGCGGATGTGTCTGCTCTGCAGGAAACATAGTGTTCCTGGACCGTTACGAGCCCAGCCTGAGCCACGTGACGCCCAACACACGCGTCAAGTACGAGTTCAAGAGCGACCTCGAGCCACAGCCAGAGGAGCAGCCCGACCGCCCCGTCGCCTACTCGTCCCTCTACATCGTCACACGCATGGCCGAGAAGCAGGCAGAGATCGACTTCTACAAGGACGAGAAGAACCTCAGACAGAGGATGGCCGAGCAGGCCGGGCAGCTCGGCGCCCCGCCCATCAAGCTCGCCGACCCCGACCCGGCGAAGACGAAGCGCATCACGCAGACGGTGGAGGAGTACCAGGCTGAGAGAAGGAAGCAGATCGAGGAGGAGAGACGGCGGCTGAAAGAGGCGAGGGACGACCCCTTCTACGACCCCCTGCGGCAGAACCTCTATGGCGACACGTTTTGGCGGTCATTCTACGGTTTGGCGGGCAAGTACAATCCGCATGACGACCGGCCGCCGTCGCACATGTACCAGATCATGATGTTCGTGACGCCCGTGCTGACCCCTTTCCTCATGCTGATGTTCGTCGCCTTCACCGCCGACTCGCTAACGTACCCTTCCGAGGTCGTCTGCAGACGCACATCCTACTGACAGACAGGAAACTGACTGGCCAGATTATGGGCTCGTTCCTGCCTGCCTGCCTGCCTGCCTTGCTGCCTGTGTGAGTGGGCGTGTGTATGTGATGGTCTTCTGGTGTGCACCGGGGGATGGAACAGAGGGAGAGGGAGAGAGGGAGGCACTTCGGACTCGATTGGAGTGTGGTGGTTTCTGCCAGTGAGTGTTCTCTTTCTACGTTTCTGTCTACACACCCGGTGTACCTGACCGCAGTTTGGTTCAGCTGCACTCGGTGTGGTGGGCGGGGCGAGAGATGGGAAGCACGACACTGATACGAACGAGAGACATGCCTGCCGGTGACAGGATGTGACGGAAGACGTTGACGCGTGATGTGTACACGGATGGTGTCAAGAGTGTGTGCCGAAACCCCACACGACTAAACAACAGTCGACCGACCGGTACACATGCTGTCTGTATACCGACCGCTGTCACATCACCGACGGGATGACATAAAGACAACGTCCGCCAACAACCACCACTCCTCCCTCATGCATCTCACATACATAAACACACGGAGCCTCCCTCATCGCTTTGCTTCTCTCTCGCCACTAGTCCGTTTTGTCAGCCCCCTTCCCTCTCTTTCCCTGTCCTCCCATCACCCACTGCAGAAGAAGCACCGCCGCAATGAGCACCGTCGATATGACGCACACCACACACATGTTCGACACAAAGGTTGGCTCGTCGCTGCTGGTCAAGAGGGCCGCGAGTTGCTGTGCGATGGTTGGGGGCGGTCCAAAGAGGTCTGGCGGAATGGCGAATGGTTGCCGTTCGCTGTATGCCTGGTCGGTCGCGAACGCGTCCCAGAACTCGCAATGGTGCCGCTCGTTGACGGTGTCGCCAACCAGCTTGATGGAGCCGCGGTCGATCTCGAGTGTGGCATAGCCGTTGGCCTCCCCAGTCGTCTCCCAGACCACCCCATTGCCCATCTTGACCTCTGCCTCCCCGCGCACAAACGCCCCCAGGCCTGCCAAGTACATCCCCTCCGTCCACGCGTCGGTCTCGTCCTGGCCCATGTCTTGAAGCCGCCTGTCCTGACCCAGCTGCTGCCGTATATGGCCATGGTAGCGCCAGTCGATGCCGTGCATGGCCCCCAGTGGGTTGCCGGGGGGGAGGATAGTGCGCCACAGAGAGGTGTACACGGGGACACGCCGCTTGGAGAGCTCCATGGCAAGGCGCCTGCAGCCATACATTCAGGCCGGGTATGGTGCTCACTCTGTGTGTCCAACCTGTTGGGGCAGCTAAACATTGCGTCTCCCGCGTAGGCATTCGCCATGGCCAGCGGGTCCCTCTCGCGAAGAACGCTCTCATACTCATGGAGGATCTTGGTCGCCTGCGCGCACACACGGCACCACACGGCACAAACCACTATGCGTGCCGTCGATGAGCCACTCATGAATGCATAGCTATCTGTGCATTTCGTCGTGTTTGACACCTTATCGCGTCCGAAGCTGTTGGCGACGAATCGTCGGGTCTGTTCGGCTGTGGCGTTGGCGAGCTTCTGCCACTCGGTGTGGCCGACGAATTGGAGCAGAAGCGGGTACTCGTCGTCGGCTGTGCTGATGATGACCGGCTTCTTCTGGAAACCACCCTGTGTCCACACATACGCACAGCATAGACCCACACGAATGCACCCACTGGCTGGACAGAAGGAGGCCGCTGCACACACCGACCGGCCGACCTGTTTGGCGAGAGTGATGAGGTTGGCGTGTGTGACGATGTTATTGTCGACCACCGGGCAGCTCTCCACGGCGTACGATGCCATCTGCACGTCGCGACCACTCACAAGCGGGCAGAAGGGCATCGGTGGCTGCACCGCCGTCAGCTGAACAAGCAAAGAAGACAGACAAGTAGAGGCGACACTCACTAAACCGCATCCAGCCATCCAGCATCCCTCCGCCTCCCACACTCACATTTGACCAGTGGACGTTTCTCATCTCCTCCATATTCTTGGCGGCCACGGCCCGCTGCAGCCTCTCCCCTCTGCGCTTGTAGGCCTCTTCCATCGAGGCCTCCTCGATTATGGGGGCTGAGCTGATGATGGCGCGATGAAAGAGCGGCTCGCTGAGTGGCCACACGAGGTGGTGCAGCACCGACTGGCCGCCAGCCGATAAGCCGTAGAGCGTCACGCGGGAAGGATCGCCGCCAAAGGAACGGATGTTGGTCTGCAATGGGTGGCAGGAAGCAGCATGCGGCAACATGCGCTTGAAGTGTGTGTGTCTGTGTGTCTGGGTGTCTGGGTGTCTGGGTGTCTGGGTGTATGTGCTGGTCTCGCTCGACCCACCTGGACCCACTGCAGTGCCATCTTCTGGTCGAGTAGCATGAAGTTGGTCGTTTCGCCGATCGACGGATGCGCGAGCCAGCCCAGCGCACCGAGTCTGTAGTTGATGGACACCGCCACTAGCCGCTGGTCCGCCACCAGGCCAACCGGGTGCCAGAAGGGCTCTGTCACACCACTCCCAAAGGCAAACGCTGGGAACCACACATCACACACACCGAAAAGTGGCACGGGTGCAGATGATCTATCTGTCCACCGTCTGCATGGCATGGCCAGTGCTGCACTGCACCAGTGTAGCTACTCACCGCCGCCGTGTATGATAAAGAAGACGGGGAGGAGTTCATCTGGCTGCTGAGTCGGTGGTGCCGACGGCGTCCACACGTTGAGTTGGAGGCAGTCCTCGCTCATTCCTGCAGGTTCGGCCGCCGTATGCGGCCGCATCCGCTCTATCATCGGGCATGACTTCCCCCTGCCGCGCCCGTCATACGCACTGCTCCACGGAGGATGAGGCTGCATGAATGAATGAAGCACCAAAACATAGAAAGCAGGAGCACCAATCAGATCTGCAATGCCTGGACTCTCTGCTGTGTCTGCTCTGTCTGTCTGTTGTGTGTGCACCTCAGGCGGCCTCCATCTCCTCAGACCGACGGGCGGGAGAGCATATGGGATGGCCTCAAAGACGTGCAGAGAGGCGTCTGCAGCAACGGGGTGACCGACGATGGGGCCTGCAGGGGCATCGATGACCACTTCCTGGCATCTCGCTGGGAAGACAATGAATGCGAGAAGGAAGGCTCCGTACTCAAGGGCCGAAGATCTCATTGTCGTGATGCGAGATCTGTGGGCGTTGCATGCATCTCAGGGTCCGGCTACAGCGTGGTTTGCTTGTCTCTGCTCGTCCCCTCACCACGAGGTCGTCGTAGGTAGTGCCGACGACGAGGTGCCCCCGAGGCGGCGGCTTAGGAAAAATACATCTCGTGGAAGGTTGAATTGCGACCGCGAGCTTGGCTTTAGGCTCGCATGCGAGCTTTTGGATGGTGGCGATTTTTTCCGGAGGGAGGAGAGCTCAGAATACACCAGCGATAACGGTAGTATGTGTGAGCAGCTCACACATGAAAGTCAGAGAAGCACGAAACTAAAGAACATTCCAATTGGAACATTCGTTGCAAGCATCGTTGTGTTCGGTGGTTATGTGCTGTCAGAGTGTAGAGGAGCTTTGAAGCATGCGAGGAGAGAGCAGGGCAGCTTGAAAAAGGCGCAAAAACGCTTCCATAAATGAACACAGGTGGGCAGCAGAGAGGCCAGGCAGCAGGACGCATCATGCAGAGAGCAAAAGCACGATGCGTCAGTACGTAGTGTGTGTTCACTGTGGAGGTGGTGTGTGTGTGTGTGTGTGTGTGTCCGTGCAGTCAGTCTTCTTCAATCTCAGTTTCTGCAGCAGGGGAAAGCGGCAGGCTGAACAAGGCAGGCAAGACGAAAGGTCGGCTGCCTACGAGAGGTCGGCTGTCTAGGGTTTACAGCGCGAGCCCGTCGGGATACGTGCCCGTGTGTGACCGGTTGACAAAACCTCGCGATAGAGCATGAAACATGCGGTCAGACAAGTATGAATCAAAAAAGCATGCAGACACGACAGGCCTTCTGAGGCGAGGAGGAAGAGGATATATACAGGTGAAAAGCACAGGGCACAGAGAAGCACGTCGGTGCATGCATTTGTGTGTGTGTGTGTGTGTGTGTGTGTACTCTACTCAGTGATGGTGGCGAGTGCGCTGCTGAAAGCACTGCTGGCCGCTGAAGGCGCACTTGGCACTGAATTGCTGTGAGTGAACAAGGTAGGAAGGAAGGAAATGGGATGGATGCGTGATTGTGCTCGTGTGCGTGACTGTATGTATGTGCAGAGCTTACGCCTTGATGATTTCGTATTTGACGATGTGTGGTTCGTTGCAGGTGACGTACGGGCAGTGAGTGTGGTACACCTGGGCATCTCCCCATCTGCCGTAGAGTGTCTCGTCGCTGGGGAGTGGGGAGAAAAGGATAGAGTGAGAAGAGGAATACAGAAGGAGACCAACGCCCGCCGGTGTCCAAGCCAACCAGCTCGCCGGCGTTGCGATGCGGGCCCGCCTGCCTGCGCGCAGGCAGGCAGCTGACTGACAATCAGCAATTGCACATTGTCGACCGGGTGCAGAACAAGCGGTATGATGCCGTCACACTCTTCGACGTGCGCCCTCCAGAGCTTCACTTCATCGACAGCGTTGAGGAATACGTCAAGTGGGCTCTGCTGCACTGCCGCACGAAGTCGAGCCCGTCACGGCATTCTTTGAATGTTTGCTGGCGTCTGCAGGTGGTGCGCCGTCACTTCGTCGATCAGGACACAAATCAAGCAAGGCCTCTAAGAGGACGTTGCGGTTTTCCCCCTGCTGGATGGCGCACTGAGTGGGGTGAAAATTCGTCGGCGCTACCTGCGGCATGTGGCCGTCACCGCCCACGAGCGGTTCCCAGCGCAGATTGTCCAGGATGGGGTGCAGCTGCTGCACCACGTCCTTTACGAGCTCATCGAGCCCCTGGCAGCACTGGACGTGCAGTACGGTGACGCCCTTCCTGAAGCCACCAAGAATCCTGTCACTACAACTCAGCGTTCTCCCACCGTTTCGTCGAGTACGGCAAGCGGTCTTTCAGCAAGTTCGGCCAGCGGCTGGATACGATTGTCGCCATATCGCATGTGGCACCCATGAATACGGGGCGTTTCCTCTATGTCCTTCTCATGCTGGGCCGGTTCGTCTGCGAGAAGGACCTGTTCTTTGACGGCAGCCTGCAGGAGGCCTTCTACCGTGCCCGGCTCGTCACAATCCAGCCCCCGACCCGAGGCAGACGCCCTCGCCATCGCTCGCCGGTACACGATGGAGGTGCTGCGCTTCGAGCCCGCCAGCACCAACTGAGTCGACTGGACAGCTGCAAGAAGCACACAAGCCCTGTGTGTGTCTGTGTGTGCGGATGTCTCTCTCTTCTGTCCTTACAGCACATTCTGTCGCTCCCTGCAGTCTGCCGCCGCCGCTATCAGTGATGTCCTTTTGCGCAACACTATCGCCTACCCCGGCAGGCCACTGGTACGGCATAGGACACACCTGCAATAGTCCCAGCCGGCCCCACACCCCCCGATGACCAGAGGGGGGTGTGGTGGCCGGCTGGCTGGTTGCGTAGTGCACGAGAGTGCGTCGCTCACTTCCTCCTTGTTCTTCTCGCGTGTGTCCCACCCTAAGATCGACACGACGACGCTGGGGCTGGCGAGGTCCGAGGCGGTGCAGGCCGCCATAGATGCGCGACGCAATCGGCTTCTCGACTTCTCGACTTCTTCGAGACACATTTTATACGGCGGCCTTGCTGGCTACGCACGACACACGAAAATGGGTGGTGTTCTGTTCTCTCGGTCTCTCTTTCTCTCCCTCTCTCTCTTTCTCTCTCTCTCGGCTTGTCACTAACAGTTGTGTCGCATGCTCGTGCCTGTCCTCTATGTTAGCGGGCGACTGTATGTGCCACGGCAATAAATGTCAATGGGGTGTGCGTTAACCTCCGTTAACTGATGATGTGCGTTGCAATGATCGTACCCGGTCTGGCCCGAGACAAAGGGCACAAAGTCCAGCCCCTTTCTTCCACGCGAAACGCACCCAAACCCAACACCTCGAGATCCCCTTCCTCGGTGAGAAAGAGAGACCGGTTTCACGCAACCCGAAAGCCTGAGAACTGGCTTGTCGACCGGTGGCTGAACTGGGTATTTCTGGCTCATTCTGATCTGTCCTTGCTCTGCCTCACTGCCTGGGTGTGAAAACAAACTCAAACAAACCGCGACGATTGTCCGCAGCAATAGGTCCGCAGCGTTTGGGTCAGAAGGTGCGCTCGCCGTCTACCTCTGCCATCGTTACGTCTACACCGCTGCTCAAGCTGCAGAGCAAGATACCCAGCCACTTTCCGCCTGGACCGGCCCTTAACGCCGCCCGCCTGAATAGCAATCATCGTGTGACACTGTGACTGAGTGAGCGACGAGCGAAGGGTACAAGCAAGATGGTGCTGACGGCGCCCCCCCAGACGTACCAGACGCTGACTGATATCGGCGTTAAGAAGAGCCACCTGCGCTCCGACCAGCTCATCCTCCAGGGCTTCATGGCCGGCATCTACATCGGATTCGGTGGACACGTCGCTATCATATTCGCGTAAGTCGGTGGCGTGGGCGAGCACACGGGAAGACGGAAACACACCAACCACTCATTCCGATGCGTTCGTTCAGTGGTGGGATGAACCCGGGCACGTCGGAGGGCGTGCGGAAGTTCGTGCTGGCGGCGATGTTTCCGACTGGCCTGATAGCGGTCATCCTGACGGGCGCGGAGCTGTTCACGGGCAACACCATGACCATGTTTAGCGCCTATCTGGCCAAACGGGTCCCACTCAAGGAGGTCGGCAGGAACTGGGGCGTCTCCTGCCTCGGTAAGTTAGTGCGTCAGTCACCTGACTGACTGACACGCCACACATATATACTAGGTGTCCGTGTGGAGATCTCGATGTGTGTGTGTGTGTGCGCGCGCGCGTGTGTGTGTTTGGTTGGTCAACAGGCAACCTGATTGGGTGTATGTTTGCGGCGGCGTTCTTGTCCTACTTCACGGATCTGTTTCAAGGCGACACCAAGGACTACATCATTGGCTTGGCCGTGAAGAAGGTGTCGATGGACTGGTACGTGGCCTTCCTTAAGGCCATCGGGTGCAACACCCTCGTCTGCCTCGCCGTCTGGCAGGTATGTGCCTGTGGATGGATGGACACACGCACATGCCTTCTCCCGCCCAGCCACCCACCTCACGTGGGGTGTGTCTCTGTGTGTGTGTGTGTGTGTGTGTATGGTGAGTGCAGGCTGTCGCGGCAGACGATGCGGCCGGCAAGGCCATCGTGATATGGTTTCCCATCGCCACCTTTGTTCTCAGCGGCTTCGAGCACTCCGTCGCCAACATGTACTTCATACCTGTCGGTGAGCCACACACACACACACAACCCACGCACAGACACCTCATGTGCCGTTTGTTTGTTGGTTCTCTCTCCGGTATCTATTTCTCTTTCAGGGATGATGTACGGTGCTAAAATCGCAGTGTGGGAGTGCATCGTTTACAACTGGATCCCCGTGCTTCTCGGCAACGTGGTGGGAGGGGTGCTGTTCCAGGGCGCCGTCTACTGGTACGAGTACCACCCGCGGTCGCAGCGATTCGACCTCGACGCATGCACCGACACCCAGCTGATACACCAGCTCAGGAAACGACTCTCGCACGAACACCTGGTAAACAAAACAGACCCACGCAGCGCAGCGCAGCAACCCACTCACTGGCTGACTCACCCACACACACAGACGGGAGACGAGCCGACAGGCGACACAGCGGCTGACAGCCCCAAGACGGGCACCAACACAGGCGTCATCGTGCGAGAGACCACCCCGGCTACCATGCACAACTCCCAGGCCCCCCTTACCACTGTGACGGTGGTACAAGACGGCCGCCAGACCACGATGGGCGAGGAGAACTGCGGCACGGGCGGCGTCGGCAGCGATCTCGAGGTCGCTGGAACCGTGCCCGTCGGCAAGACCGACGTCGGTTCACACCTCGCCAGACCGGTGAGCTGAGCTGAGCTGAGCTGCCTGACCCCCCACACGTCCGTCCACGTCTGTGTACTGTCCATCTGTATGTATGTCACTCGCTTTTGCAGCCGAGCGACGCCACGACTTCCCGCCGCATGAACCTGTCGTTCCCCAAGGCGGCGACCGACTCGTCGTTCCAGCTGCCCGAGGATGACCCCAGCAACCGGTCTGGTGGGGGCGTCGCCGACCCCTCCCGGCCCCTACTCGTGCCCTCGGAGCACGGCGACGCCGGCTCGGCGGAGGAGCTGGTGCGCGGCTCGCAGATGCAGCAGCGCGGCCGCGATGCCACGGACAAGTCCGAGTGCGGCGCGTCGAGCAGCGCCACCGAGATCATCGACCACATCCGTGCGATGCATTTGGACAAGGGCGAGGCGCAGGAGGTGGTGGCGAGGGAGGTGAGCCTGGAGGCGCGCGACGCTGAGAAGATGGTCAAGGTCGCACGCAAGTATGTGTGACCTCACCGACACACCGTGGGGCCGTGCCGTGGGGCCGTGCCGTGGGGCGGATGGGATGGCAGGCAGTAATTCGCTGAAGGTCTGGTGGGGGTTAGGTTGTCTGGGGCACCACGGGGGTGGGCTGGCTGCGTTTTGTTTCATTGTATGTATGGGGGTGGGTGCCTGGGAAGAATGAATGATGGATCGTCGAGTGCTTTTGAAGGTGAAGGAGGAAGACCTGACAGATGACGATCCGCCCGCCATTATCCTTTGAACGAACAGAGAGCGGGGGCTGTGCGTGCTGTATGAGGGAGGACAGTCAATTGCTCGATGATGGCTTTTGTGCCTGGGTGCTGGGTTGGGATGGATGGCCGCTTACGTGCGTGAGTGCATGGTGTCGAGCGGGTGCATTTAAGTGTGTGTGTGTGTGTGTTCGCGTGTGAGTGAGTGCCACCCACATACCTACCCAAACACACACATACATGTAGATGTCATCTGATTTGGTGTGATGTGATGCCACCCGAACAGTGCAGCCGGCCAGCAGGGCCCTGTGCGTGCGGTGCGGTGAAGAGAGACGAACGAGGTGGGGCGGTGGGCGATTTTGGGTCTGTGCGCTGGATGGATGGATGGATGCATTTTGGCCCTCCGTTCTTTGTGTACACGCGTCTTTGTAAGAATGAATGAACCTCAAACCCTCTTTTTTGTAAGCGACGAGCCAGCAAGCCAGTTGGCGTATACAAAATACAAGTGACACCTGTGTGCTGGTCTGTCTCGTGATCGCTTCCTTCGGCTGTTGCAGCTGTTGGGTAAAGCTGGAGAGCCCCACATCGCCTGGGGGCTACTTTGGCTGAGCTGGCGGAGGCAGCAGCTGGAAGGAGCGACACGCAAGACCAACACGTGCACACACACACACAGACAGCGAATTCATCTGTGCGTCCATGTGTGATAGAGACAGATAGATAGCCGAGGGCAAAGGGCCCCATGCGGTGAGGATGATGATGATGATGTTGATGGCCGGCCGTTCATCTGCCCACGTTCATACCCACACAAATGTAGCCACACGTACACACTGACTGACTGACTGACTTCCATTGCTCTTTCCCACCCTCGCTCTACTCGCTCTACTTGCTCTCTCTGCTCAATCTAACCTGCTCGCTTGGTGTTTGTGTAGTGTCCATCCATTTATATGTGCCTTTCTGTCGATATGATGATTGATACACAAACCCACTCACTCACACGTACACATCCACACTCGCCTGTACCTACCTACCTACCTACATACATACCCACACTACATGAATAAATAAAGGGTGTCCAGAGGAGTGGAGTGGATGACTGAACGACCGTCCCCTGCCGTGTGTTGTGTTGTGTTGTTATTGCTCCTCGTTCCCTCTTCCTTCTTGCACTCCCTCCCTCTCTTTTTGTTTCTCTCTACCTACCGTACAATGGATGGGTGGCATTGCCACGAGTGAATGCACGTGCGTGGCGCGAGCGAGACTGAAATGAATGACTGAAGGTCGCCGTCCATTTTTGTGTATGTGGTGTGGTGTGGTGTGGTGTGGTGTTTGCCATTCAGACAATCTGGCGGCGCTGCGTAGGTGTGTAGCTTAGCTGGGGGGCTGAGCGGACGGACGGACGGACGTAGTGGACCACCTACACACACAGTGGACCACACACACTCACACCCACCCACCCCACAGCACACACACATTGGACCACCCCACACATCGCACTGCCTCGTGTGCATGTGTGTGTGTGTCGCCTGTCCCATACTCGAGGGCACTCGCATCCACGCCACTGGGTCCTCATAACATGGTGGGGGGTATGTGATGCCGGTAAGTATGCGGCAAGGAAACACACGCACTGCAGTGGGCAAGTGTGAAGCGTCATAGCATTGGATGGCCTCCACTGTCGAGGGATTTCGCATTTGTTAACGAGACGTGAAGTGGGCAAAGTCGCATTACAGGGGATGTACTGGGTCCATCCACACACGCATACGCATACACATGCACATGCGCACACACGAACAGACACGACGTGGCTAATATTATCGGGTGTCTGTCCGTCGGTCTCATCATTGAGTCATCAGTCAATCAACCAGCTCCTACCCACACACATACACTCACACAGAGTGGACATGACTGACATGCAGTGTCTGTTGCCAAACACGCACATGGATTGCTTCTAAAACTGCCCGCACTTGACCCCCTCCCTCCCCTCCCCGTCCCCCTCCCTCCCTTGTGTGTCGGCGGCCGCAGCGGAAATCATTCATCGCCTTCGGCTGATCACACACAAGGACACGAGGACAATGCATCGATCAGCCTGCCCATCCGGTGGGTTTGGTGCTGTGCTGTGCAGTTTGCTCACCCGCCGCGCTTCTGGTTGAATGGGACCTTGGTGAAAGCCCAGTCGACATGCACCTGCTTCTCCAGAATCTCCTTGCCGTTCATCGCTGCCATGGTATGGCCATCCAGTCCAGCAGCAATCAGTCAATCACACACATCCACACTCACTCACTCGGCGCAGGTGCGCGTGTGTGCATACATACCGTCGATGGCGGCCTTGGCCTCCTGGTACTTCTCGTACTCGATGAAGCAGTAACCCTGCACACACCACACCCGGCACACACACACACACACACACACAGAGAGAGATACAGACGTCCATCATGGCTGAATGTTCTGTGTGCCTGCCAACAGTGACCGGCCGACCTACCTTGACGAATCCTGAGCGTCTGTCGAGGTTGAGGTGGAGGTTCTTGATGTCGCCGAACTGGTCAAAGTGCTCGTGCAGGTCCTCCTCCTGGCACTCCTCCATCAGACCCGTCACGATGACAATCCAGCCCTCGATGGCTGCGCACGCACCACACACACACCACAAAGAGAGACATCCCTCATCATCCAGTCCCTCCCTCTGCTTCACTCAGGTAGGTATCGCATCGCTCACATCTGGCGGGTCCGAATTCGTCGCTGCCTCCCTCCTGGTTGAGCGACTGGAACACGCCCGCATCTCCCTCGTATCGGTCGTCCACCTCCATGGCGTCCCTCGCGCCCCTCCCTTTGATGCGGCGGCCGCCAGACCGCATCCCTGCATCTCCTTCATCACTCTGCATACTCACTCACGGATCTACTCACACGAAGGCCGCTAGGCAAAACCTGGGGACGTCTCGGCAACGAAGGGAAGCAGATGCGGACTCTTCTCACCACAAGCTGCTTTCTGAGCTCGCCGACCCCCGGTCTAGGACATTTCATGAAACTGTTCGCTCGCGGGTCTCGACCTTCTCTTTTCCTTCCCTCCCCTCCCCCCGGATCATGCAGCCTTACCTGCCTGGCAAGGGGCTATTCCTGCCCGTTGGGGCACTGCCGGGCAAAGGAAGCGACGGAAGCCCTGGCAGCCGGGAGAAGAAGGACGCTGGGCGGAGTTTGAGGGCCTCTCAATTGACCGATGTGACGGCTGAGGGGTCATCGTCATCGAGCAGCTATGCGAGGAGCCCATCGGTTGGCAGATTGAGACGCCAGATGCTGGGCCGGACACGCACAGGCAGGCTGCTGTGTTTGCTTTTCTGCTCGCAGATTCGCGTCAAGTGCTACGTGGATGAGGGAGATGTGCTGCTGTATCAAGTCGAGTTAGCAGGGGATGATTTCACAAACTGGGGGCTCACAATGGATGCACGCACGGATGAATGTCTGTGTGTTTGTTTTCAGGCCGACTCTGACGTCGTGTGAGGCGCTTTGGGGGGAGCTGCACAAGGACTGGGGGAACGAGATATCCCTCAGATGGAAGGTGAGACCATCACACACAAGGCAACCACATCCTTCCATGGCATGTGGCGGTTGTCCATCCAGGACGAGGAGGGAGATGCCATCTTGATGCGACAGCCGCGCGACCTCCTGGTTGCTCTGGAACACAACCGCTCGTCGCCTTCGCTCAAGATCAGCATGGAGAGGGGCCTTTCACCAGCTCAATCCATCAGCCGCAAGTCCAAGTCAGCAAGATCACACCGGTCCACCCGCTCTTCAGGTGACTATGCATGTCACATACATCCATCTACCATACGAGACACGACGATGCAGCACCTGGTGTGCCTGCAGGGGGCTCCCCTCGCCCGTCCGACCCCCTTCAGCCCCAGGCGTCAGCAGTGCCCTCGTCCATCGGGTCGATATTTTCCGATTCGCCCGTCTCCCCCGCGGCCAGCGACAGACCACAGGGGGGCGGGGAGGGAGTGGACGTCATGAAAAGGCTCGAGCAGATGATCGTGGCGGCAGAGGAGGGGGGCACAGACGAGACGCAGCAGATGGACATGCTGTCCACGCTCACAGAGGAGACCATCACTGAGAAGGACCTCCAGATGGGCCAGAAGCTCGGGGCGGGGTCCTACGGGACGGTGTATCTCGCCATGCACACACATACGGGGCAGCTTCTGGCACTCAAACAGGTGGAGTTGGCCACCCACTCGCAGGCGCAACAGAGCCAAGTGAGTGAGAGAGACACCGGGGGAAGGCCTACGGCATCGGTCGCTCGTTGGCTTTTGTGTGCAGCTGATGGAGTTCCAGCATGAGATGGGTCTGCTCAAGAGCCTGCAACACCCGAATATCGTCAGCTACATCGGTGTGGTGCAGACGCCCGTGTCTCTCAACATCCTCATGGAATACGTACCTGGTATGCTGCACAGGTCATGGGATGGATGGATGGCCTTAGCTGTGGATCTCTCCTTCTTGCTGTTCAGGCGGGTCACTGCAGTCCTTGATTGGCAAGTTTGGTCCTCTGAAGGAGAGCGTCGTGGCGCTGTTTACACACCAAATTCTGCAAGTGAGCCGCCACCCATACACAGCAGGCCACCACACACATATGCGCATGATTGCTGCCCAGGGCCTGGCGTATCTCCACGAGCACAACATCGTCCACAGAGGTAGGTAGGCAAAGTGCGTCTCAGCAAGCCATTGCACCCACTCGCGACGAGGAAGAACACTCAATGTGTGTAGACATCAAGGGCGGCAACATCCTGTTGCGTGCTGACGGAGTGGTCAAGTTGGCGGACTTTGGGTGCGCCAGGGTGCTGGACAGAGAGGGGGAGTCCTCCACGGAGAAGGACATGTGCATGACCACCAAAGGCACGCCCCTCTGGATGGCGCCGGAAGTCAGTGACCGAGTGACCGACTGATCAATCAAAGGCTTCTCATGAGTTATGAGTGTGTGGCTGCGGTGTAGGTATTGGCGAAGGAGCCGTATTCGACGCCTGCGGACATCTGGTCAGTCGGATGCACTGTCATCGAGATGATCACGGGTAGGCAGACGTGATCTCATGGTGTCTCGTCATCCTATCCGCCGACCGATGGACACATGCGTTCAGGTCAGCCGCCCTGGTCTGAGTATGGCTCACCATGGGCAGCCCTGTACGCTATTGTCAAGGCGCGTCGCAGCCCCCCGATCCGCTCAGACATCCCCAAAGGCGCACAGGCGTTCATCGCAGAGTGCCTCAGATTGTATGTGAAGCAAACATCCACAGAGACGCGGAGACGCGTGTCGGCTGCAGGGCGTGTGGGCCCCCTGTGTGTCTGTATGTCTGTGTGGTTGTTCAGCACCCCGTCTGAGCGTCCCACAGCGTCAGCGTTGCTGAGGCATCCCTTTCTGCGGCAGGCAGCCATGCGACACGCGGCGAAGGCCAAACGGGACACACCTGGCCGCAGCCGGGAAAGCCAGTGAGTGGAGAGAGAGAGAGAGAGAGAGAGAGGGTGTAGGCTTTAGATGTAGGTGTAGGGGACGGCTGTGTGAAGATAGCTATGTATGTGTGTGCGACAGCCATCAGGAAGTATTGATTTACTTGTCTGTAAGGTGTCACCATACATACGCACTGCGGCGCACGCTTCCCCCCATGACTCGGCTCAGTCAAATCTCACCGATAAGGTTTGTCTTCATATCGTGAAGAAGTGCAGGCAGGACTTGTTTGCTTGGTCGGTCACTCGGGGATGTGGGATCAAAGACAGGAAATATAAAATGTAGGCAGCTATCAGCAAAGACCTTTACCCCCACAGCGCTCAGCACCACAATCAACAAGCCAGGCAGCCCCATGTAACATCAACAGGCAGGCGTTGATGTCGTTGAGGTCGGTATTGTTGTAGGTGGCACACCGGTCTCGAGGTCTTGCCGACTGGCTGTGTCGCCAGCCAGTGGTTTGCGGGAAAATGGAAAGATAAGTCGCCGACAAATACAAAAATGTCGGCAGCGATTTGAAAACACCTGCGATAGGGAAAATGTTCACACACATGTGTCTTCGCATTTCTCGGCAAGTGACGTAGTTCCGTATTGTGTACCTGCAAGGCAATCAAGCGCTCGCTCAAGCTGCCCGCTGCGACTTGGAGGCGTGCAGCGCCCAAAGCAAACCCAGCAAAGCGAAGCAAACCGAAGCAAACCTGCGTCTTGCTTGTATCGATGCAAGACAAATCAATGCAAGCAAAGCAAAGCAAGGCAAAGCAAGGCCCAAGCCAAAGGTGACGAGGGAGAGGAGACAAGCAAAGCAAAGCAAAGCAAAGCCAAGCCACCAGGTCCGTGTGCTGTGGTCGAACCCCCCGACACGCTCGCCCAGCCCACCGTCGAGAGATGACATAAGGGGCGCAGACCTCGGCGCACACGAGCTCGGCGAAGATGATACACGCGATGTAGAGTCCCCTACACACGAACCTGTTCCCTGGTAACGCCAGGAGACAGGCAGAGCAAAAGATCACCCTCAGATGCCGCCAGACGCTGCTTTTGTAGCATCTCCAGCAGAGCGGCGGGAGGGGGATCTATGCTGCTGTGCCGCGGGGGAAGGAAATAGAGCTGTCTCGGCTGAGGATGTGCAGCTCCCCGTCCGCCGCATCTCGCCACAGAAACCAGACCAGATGCGGTCGTTGACGATCAGCTGGTCCGACAAATATGGAATGTAGGCAGCCATCAAAGCCGGCCAACTGTCTCCGGCGAGCTGCGGAAAAGGAATCCCTCGACCGCCTCGCGCTAAATGCCAGTCGAGTTCTGCTGCAGGTTGAGCTGTGTCTCTCTGCTGCCGTTGTGGCCATTGTGGCCGTTCTGCGTCCTTCCATTCCCGTTGTGGACGCCCTGCATGTTGGGGCTGCCGTGCTTCAGGCCAGCCTCAGGTGTCTTCTTCCTGCATTGGGTTGCCATCTGCAGACGTCGATCTCTCGGCTTGCTAGAAACCGGGGCCCCTGACGCTTGCAGAGAGTAGATTACGAAGCCCCCGAGACCAATCACTGTACCGCCCCACCAGATTCTCAATGAAGATGGCCACACCTGTGATCAGCTGCCAAAAGCACTATATGTGCGATACACAGGACCAGTGCAGATCCGCTGCATCGTCGCTCAGGGCGCGAGAAGCCACATCGACACCAGCGCCGACTCTTTGCTTCACCCCCAGCCCGTCCTCGAGCCCCACCCCAGCCGCAGCCGCAGCGGTGGAAGCAACTGCCTCTCTGAATCGCCTGAAGAGGAGAGAAGGGCATGCCCACGCCCATCACCGCCACTTCTGCGGACACCTTGCCATTGAGAACAGGGAGTATGACACGCAGGAAGAAGTGCTCACCTGACGGAGACAAAGGTATGGCACGTGGTATGGCGCACTGCCCAGCTGCCAGGCGGACGACAGGCACTCGCCAGCCGCTCGCAGAAGGCGGGTCGCCACCTGCCACGGAGGCTGGTCAAGGAAGTGGCGGGCGGCTCCGGACAAAAGGGGAGGCATGGGAGGGGGCGGGGCGGACCACGGAAACCAACAGCCAGCTCAAACGAAAAAGAAACAGAGGCGGTGTGGCTGACCAAAGTCTGGAGAGCTGCGAACGGCCGAAAATTGCAAAGAACGAGTGAAGAAGGGAGAGACGGAAAGACCCGTCTCGGCGAGAATTCTCGAGCGCTTTGAGCTTGCGGCATTCCTCTTTTGTTGGGCGAGCATCACACACCTCAACAAAGGGAGCATAGTTATGGCGCACAAGAAAGATTCGTCATCCGTTGCCACGTCAGCTGGTCCGGCGGCGGAGAAGGGTCTGAAGATCATCGGAGCTGGTAAGCAGGAACGTGACAGCAGTCGCACAACACCAGCATCCGTGCGTGTGCATGCGTGTAGGTTACGGGCGCACCGGGTGGGTGGATGCACAGGCAGATGATATACTCCATCATCTCTTTTAGCAGTGGGTGATTCGCTTGCAGGACCTTCTCTCTCAAGAATGCTCTGGAGCAGCTGGGCTACCCGTGTTACCACATGGCGGAGCTATTCGCCAACCCTGCAAGGATGCCCGTGTGGCGGGAGATCACGAGGAAGAACGGCAAGGGCGTTGACTGGGACGCCGTCTTCGACGGCTTCACAGCAACAACCGACTGGCCCGCTGCGCCCTTCTTCGATGAGCTCTTCCAGGCATACCCCGACGCAAAGGTGAGCACTCACATGGAGAGAGATGCCTGGCTGGCTGGTCTCATTTCAGGTCTGTTGTGTCTGCCTTGCGTGTGAGTGTGCGTGCAGGTGGTTTTGACGGTGAGAGACCCCTCCAAGTGGTACCAAAGCATCCGACAGTACGCCACTCATGCAGATGCACGCACGCCACTCAACACACACGAGACAAGGGCTCTCTGAGGACATCTGCCGGCCGGCCTCTCTCTCTGGTTGTGCAGGACGGTCATCAGTTTCCGGAAGCACCGCAAGTCGCCCATCTACCGACTGGGTCTGCGCCTCTGCCCCATCTTTGTTTTGCGCGAGTTCCAGCGGATGTGGCACGAGCTGCAGCTGGCCCGCCCATTCACCGACGCATTTGACTTCGACGAGATGACCGAGGAGGGCACCGTGGCCATGTTCAACCAGTGGACACAGCACGTCAAGGAGACTGTCCCGCCACAACAGCTGCTCGTGTACGAGGTGGGCAAGGATCTCACCCCGAGGCACGCTCACATGTCCTCACTGCGCGTGCCTGTGTGTGTGTGTGTGTGTGTGTGTGTCGATCAGGTGAGGGACGGTTGGGGCCCGTTGTGTGCTTTCCTAGGCCATTCCATCCCCTCCACACCCTTTCCTAACCTGAATGACGTCGAGACGTGGAAGCGAAGGGCGCCGAGTGGGGAGAGACTGCTGTATGGCATTGGCTATACTACGGTGGGGCTTGCTGCACTCGCTTCTGTGGGGGTCGCCTGGGCTCTGCTCACTGCTGTAGGAGCAGCTGCTCGAGCAAAGACACGGGCGTAGAGAGAAGACAGCTGTGTGTACGTGTGTGTGTAGTGCTTTGTCATGTCATGTACATTATGGGCAGGTAGGTGATCTAAATGGATGGATGGGATGGATGGTGTGTGTGTTCCTGCGGTTTATGCTTTCAGTGACGCAGGTCACTGCGTGAACGTCAGGATGTGCCGGCCAGTCGAAAAGACAGACACAGTCTTGCTTGGGGGCTTCTTGGTTGGTTGGTTGGTTGGGCGGGCGGGTGGGTGGGTGGCCGGACAGACAGCAAGAAGAGAGGAAAGAGACACGTCTGTTGTTTTTCGGCCGGTGCTGCATCGGGCGTTCTCTTTTCGGCGGGCTCGTGTGTGCTCACCGCCTCTCAGGAGAGATGCGTCGATTCTCGGTCTCTTTGCTGTACTTCGGCCGGTGCAGCGGTGCGTGTCCCTAAGTAGCGGATGGATGGATGGATGGACGGGCGAGATCGCGGCCATGTGTGCGCAGACAATGTACGTTCCTTTGTGCTGACGAGAAACTGGTTGCACGGTCAGACATGTCTGCCCTTTGGGCGACAAACACATGTGTGACAGACACACACACAGATACACAAACGTGAACGTGCACATCAACAGATAGAGTTGCCGTACGTAAGCAACTCACTCCCTTCTGCTGTCTCTGTCACTCACTTGCCTCAGGAATCGCTTTCGTCTGACCTGTGTGGAGCACTAGCCACGCCAGCCAGACCAAGCACAGGCTGACGCACATCCACAGATAAAAGCGGCAGCTCGACCGCTCGTACACTCATCAAGGCTGACTGACCCCCATTTCGCTGTTTCGGTCCGCTGAGTCTGTCACTAACTTGTCACCAGAGTCTGCGTCCCATGGCGCGAGTGGAGAATTTGCCACATCGACCACGACACGCACGCCACGGTGACAAGCCAGAGACAGAGCCAGGTGCCAGGAGACGGGGACGTGTACAGACCAGACCGACTGTGTCGGCAATGCAGCGTATACAGAGATCGAAAAAGCGGATCAACCATCGTCTGCCCGGCTGGCTAGTGGTGTACGTATATAGTATGTGCACTCTCGCCTCTCTCGTCTCTCCTTGAAAGTGCACTGCTCTCTCAGACAGACACACACACGACACCACTGGCACAAACCAAAAAGACCCAATCCAATGCCAAACCACACCAACAATCGCCCCACCTCCCCCCCGCGGGGAAAAACACTAGGGCGTGAACACCGTCCTGGGCACATATGGCTCGAACGGCTCGAGCGATGGCGGCGGTCCCTCTGCCGGGAACGTCTTGACCCAGTCGTTGAATTTGGCGCGGCAGTCCTTGATCTCGGGGTCATCCATGTCGGGGGCCGGGGCCGTCGGCGCGCCGTCCGCCTTGCCTTTCAAGCTCTCGGTTGGGAGTTTCGAGGCCTGGGTATGGAACTGCCACGCCCAGATGTCCGCATAGTAGACCACCGACTGCATGCGGGGCAGCCGGATCGACTCGCACTCGCGCAGGATCGTGGGCACCACGTCGGCCGGCAACTCCACATGGCTGTGGCCATTCACATCGGCAGACATTCACACAGGATGAGAACGAAAATGGTGACCGGTTGAATCACATTTCCTCCTCCTCTGTCCGGTCAATCTTGCCTGGCTTGTGGGTGGTGCCGTTCGTCATGTCGCCGTTGCTCACGGTGGTCGTGTTCGGTGCCTGAATGTTTGGCACGTGTTTCTCGAACATGTCGATGAGCACGCTGACGTCCTCAAAGGTCATGTTGGCCCCCTGGCCGGGGCCAGGATAGGGCGCATGGGCGGCGTCGCCGATCATGATAACGCGGCCCTGTGTGTCAACCGACGAACATACACAGTCAGGCAGGCCATCGAGCATCTTCTCATTGCAGGCCACTGTTACCTTGGGTGTGGTGATGGTGGATGTGGCGGCCCTGTCGTAGATGCACCGCTCGTAGATCTTCTCCTCCGGTGTGGCCCCCACCATGCAAATGATCTCCGACATGTCGGGCTGCGTCTCACCGGCCGGTATCTGCGGCTTCCCACCCTCTTGGCCGATAGGCACTGCCAGGTCAGTGCCGTCACGCAGGCCACGAAGTAGGTGCTCTTTGAGACCTTGGCGCCCCGCAACGGCGCGGTGACCGGCCTTGGACAACTCAGGCACTCGGATCTGAACACAAAAGCACAGTCAATCGAATGTGCGGGTCAATGAGAATCTATTGACTGTGTAAGATTCGAGGGCTTTGTGTCCATATGTGCAAGTGCGTGGGTCACCCACCTGCCAGAAGACGTGTGTGCCGACATCAATGATATACGCCAAGACGTTCGGGCAGTCTGATGTGAGGGCGACTGTGCCGCGCTCTGTGTAGGGCAGCGGCACGCCCTCGGACTCGGCGTAGCGCGCGATGTCCTGCAACGCAACAAGTACCAGATTATGAATATACACTTGTAGAGAGGCGTCGATGGCCGGCTCCTACTTCTTTCTTGACGAGTGCGTTCCAGTTGAGGAAGCCATGGTACTTGGGCGGGTCCTCGATCATCAGCGCCGCAGCAGCCGACCCCTGGCCGTCTTTCGTGACCTGCATTACGCCGTCGCGCTTCTCACGATGCCGCGATAAGATCTGGGGCCGGAGGGCCGAGAAAGCGCCGTCGACAGCCACGATCATCTTGGCCCTGGAAGATGAGTGCACTCACAGGGAAGGATGGCCACGGCTGGGGTGATTCCGTGTAATGGTCGGTCACACTGACCTGACTTGCTCGTTCCTGCCCTCGAACACGAGTGTCGCGCCGGTGTCGTCCTCAGTGAAGTCGCGACCGCCGCAGCTGCAGTGGATGACCTCGTCGGGCACGTGGGAGGCGAAGATGTTCTGTGCCTTGGTCCAGCGGATGGTCACCTCGCCGTTGCCCTTCTTATCGACGCGGATTGTCTTGACCTGGATGGATGAGCACCACGACATACAGCAGGGATAGGTATGTGGGCGCATATGAAAGTATGTGTACCTCCTTGCCCAGCATGCGTTGATGTAGGGCTACGGTCGGGTCCATGACGCCAGAGGCCAACATGGTATCTGCAATGTCGCACTTCACCCGCCTCACTGCCGATATTCCGTTCGTGAAGGCCATGAAAATGCCCTGCACACACGGCACAATCAACAGTGGAAAGGGTCCTTCCCATCTCCCTCTCTCTCTCTGTCTGTCTCTGGCTGACCTGCGATGCATTTCTCAGAGCAGGGGCACGCTCAAACACATGGGCGTCGATGCCACGACATCTGACGTACACACACGTACACACAGAGACCATCATCACACAGGAAGTAGTAGATATCTCTCCCCTCTCCCGGCCACACTCACTCACCTCAGCCCGGCGCACAGCAGCAGGCCGCCAAGCCCACCTCCGACAATGGCCACGTCCACATGCGTCGGCAGTGGCTTTGCCGCAGCCAACAGGGGCCGCGACACGCCCATCGTCGATGGCCGCAGCACCATGTGCTCCAACGTCGTCCCACACGCCTGCACCAAACAACCACACCGTGCACGGACACCATCTTTCCCAGCCCGCCCACCTACCTGTTGTATCTTCTCGCATGTGGCTGGTGTGGACAGTTCAAAATGGCCCGTGAGGCCTCCATCGATCCTGGCGCTGCGGACGGCCTCTTGGATGGCGATGAAGACGGATGTGCTGCCGAGGAGGGGCGGCTCGCCCACCGCCTTGCTGCTCGCGAAGCCCTGGGGATGGGAGGTCTTCTCCAACAGACGCACGCGCATGTCACTGAAGCACAGAGAGAGAGAGAGAGAGAGAGGTGCACAGTGTTTGTTAGTATGTTGTGTGGTGGTTGGGGGGACGGGCGTACGTTGGGATATCGCCGGCGAGTGGTGGTTTGTATTCCCACGTGCCGTCGGTGAGGAGGCGGCCGGTCGACTCGTCGATGACCACCTCCTCGCTCGTGTGGAAGCCGATGCCCTGCAGTGCATGTCACAATATGCGGGACACACACCGAATGAATGCGGCACACGCAAGGCACAAGACATGTGCTCTCTCTGTGTATGACGCACCATGACCAGCGCGCCCTCAGCCTGCCCGATGTCAATCAAAGGATTCAGACTCCTTTACACACACAGCATACAAACCCCAAAGATTACCACACATGGAAGTCCCCATTTCTTTCCCTCCCTTCCTCCCGCCCTCCCTCTATCCTCCCCTCCCTCTCGCGTACTTGCCGCAGTCGTAGAGCATCTCGCAGTAGTGGATGCGCCTCTCCCCTGTCAGCACGTCGATCTCCACCTCACTCACGGCCGCGCCATAGGTGTCGTAGAACTCAAAAGGCTTGCCGCTGAGGGGCTTGTACTCGCCCTGCTGCTGCAGGCTCACCTTGGCCCCATCAGCTGCCGTGATGACCTCTCGCCACCTGTCCGCCACACTCGCGTCACCCTGCGCACACAACACACACACACATGAAGACAGTGCGATGGTGTGAGTGACCTACGGACACACCCACCGGTTTGCAGAAGGGCATGAGTTTGTCCACGAGCTTGGTGGCCGCGTCGTGGATGGCCCAGCACATCCTCTCTGATGCGGTTGAGCCGGCCGATGGGCCGGGGTTGGGCATGAATGCCGTGTCCAGGTCGGCCATGCGCACCAGGGAGGTGGGGAGCGCCTCGCCGAACAGACCCATTCCCAGGGTCTCGCACGCCGTCTGGGAGATGGATACATACACACATCATGGGCGACAGGCTGATGGACGTGGTGTGTGTTTGTGCGCGTGTGTGTGTGTGTGTGTGTGTGTGTATTTACCTGGACGGTTTTGATGGAGAGACCCTGGCCCATCTCCACCCCCTCATGATGCAACACAACGCTGCCATCCTGCATCCAGGCACCATAGACACACAGACACACACACGAGGCATGCAGACACACCAGTGTCCTCTGATATACGCACCTTGTAGACGTTGATGAGTGCACTGCTGAAACTGAGCGGCCGAGGGTACCGCAACGTCGTCATCGCCAGGCCCCTCTTGCGCCACCGGTTGGCGGTGTTGAACCGCTCCACCTCACTCTTCCGCCCCTCCCACCCACTGGTGGCCTTGAGCTCCTCCCATATCCTCGGCAACACATACGGCTCAGTCAGGGTGCGTGGTGGGGGCATCGGGCGGCCCATCATCGACACGGACGGGGGGCACATGTCTGTTGCCGTGGGCGAGTAGAAGTTGGTCTCGCGGACGGCTGATGGGTCCAGGTCGAGATGGTGAGCGATGCGCTGCAGCACCGACTCGATGAAGGTGGACGCCTCGGGGCCTGAATGGCGAACCAACACGTGGGAATGTGTGTTGGGGGGGGTGTGTGTGTGTGGTGGGGGTACCTCCTGGGCCTCTGACGGGAACTCTGAGAGGGAGGTTGGCCGTGTACATCTTGGTGGCGACGTGCAGGTGAGGGATGCTGTAGGTCTGGTCCACTGTCTCGGTGGCCTCCTTGCACCCGATGATGGCGCCGCCCTGCGTGACGCCACACACACACACACACAAACAGAAGGAATCGCACAATCGGCCTACGCACACATGATATCGGCATATCAGCGCACCGGCACGGCCCCCGTGATGGCGTGTATGGTGGCCCTGAGAGCGTGGATGCGCCCCTTTTCGTCCACGGCAACAGCATACTCAAACTCCATCTCCTCACTGACACCAAGACATAGCCATCGACACAGACAATGATCGGCATCGACCCCAGTGCCTCTACGCCGTACCGTCCTCCGGTCATGGCGCAGTCCTGGTTCCGGTTGAGAACGAGCCGCACCGGGCGGTTGGTGGCCTTGGCGGCCACGGCCGCGTTGACGGCGTGGGGGATGGACAAAAAGGCCTTGCCGCCAAATCCGCCACCCAATCGACTGAAAGTCACACAGACAAGGGAATGGACAATGGTTGGATGGTGTGTGTGTGAGGGACTTTCGCTCACCGAATCCTGATGTTGACCTTGTTGTGGGGGACATTGAGAGCACTAGCCACACTCGCATGTGTGTACTGCGGCCCCTGTGTGCTGGACCACACTGTCATCGTCCCGTCCTCGTCAGGCACCGCATACGCCGCCTGTGGCTCCATGTAGAAGTGCAGCTGGCTCCCGCACTCAACCACACCTCGCAGCACGTGCAGACCACCCTCTTTCGACCCCTCTGCCGCCAGCAGGTCGTCGAACTGCGAGACGTCGCCCTTCTTGGCCTCCATGGGGATGGGTGTGAGGGTGCTGGCTGCCCTGGCCTGGGCGAGTGTGACGACAGGCGGCTTGACGTCGTCCCAGGTGAGCTTGACGAGCTTGATGGCCTGCTCTGCCGCTGCGGACGTGGTGCCGAGCGCCAAGGCGGCCGGCTGCCCGAAGTACTTGGACCTGCCGCCGATGGGCACCATCACCTCCATCAGAGGCTTCCCTGCGACACACAGAAACACATGCATTGCATCCCTTCACCTGATGCCTCTTGGTGCTGTGTTGCGTACCGAATAAGGAGAAAATGTTGGTCCCAGGGATGTCAGCAGCGGTCACCACCTTGACGACCCCTTCCACCCTCTCGGCCGCACTGCCGTCCACCGCCACCAGCCTGGCGTTGCCCTGGTCGCTCCCGACGTACACGCCGTACAGCGCCCCCTTGCCCACATGGACGTCCCCGGTATACCTCGCCTCGCCGCTCGACACAAGATGCGCGTCAGGCTTGGGCAGTGGCTGCCACAGCACCGCGCCACCCTTGCCATCCGCCCTCCTTGTCTTCTCGCGTCCGTCTCTCTCCAGCTGTTCGGTCGACTCATCGACGGGAAGCACTTTGCCCATGGCGGGGTGGGATGACGGGACGGGCGGGGTGCTGAGGGACAGCTGTGGCTCGGCCGCCGAGAGGATGGATTGTGCGGGGGCGGTGGGGTGGGCGTCGGTGTAGGTGCCGCGGGCCTCCTCGGCCGCCAGCAGCACCAGGAACTTGTAGAGGTAGCTGCCGATGAGGGACCGGCGGAACGACTGACGGTCGAGGGAAGGGTCGATCGATATCTGAGCAGGACACACACCACGACGGCTCTCTGTATCCACCCACACACATCCACACCACACCTTTTGTCGGCTGCTCTCTTACCTCTGATGTGATGAGCTTGACGGCCTCTCTGACGGTCTCGTCGGTGAGGCCATACGTCTTGAGGAAGCTCTCTGTCTTGACGGCCCGCTGCGGCACCGCCCCCACCGCCCCCACCACCAGGCGCACCTCACACGGATGACGCACGACAGGGTCCAGCTCCATCCAGAAGGCCGCATTGGCGAAGGCGTGGGCGTACCGCGGCCGCATTGACGTCCTGTACGAGCGGAAGACGGATTGTGTGGCGATTTCGTCCGACGGCAGGGGGATAGAGATGGACGTCACGATGAAGGCGTGCGAGGGGGGAGTGGTCCAGAGGGACTGCAGGGGGAGGGTGTGAGAGGTCCCACTGGATGGGTCGATGTACTCGATGGCCGCGTCCCATGCCGTCAGCAGGGGGGCGAGGTCGGAGTGGAAGCCCTTGTGGTGCACCAGCATCAGGTTGCCCGCTACGCTGCCCATGTTGCGGACCTGCTTGCTCGCCACGGCATGCAGGTGCGATATGAGGGGCGTCAGGTGCGATTCGGCAAAGTGCCGCCCATCGCCTCGCGCCAAATCCTCCAGCGCCTTGACGAATGTCGACACGCTCACTCCGCCGCCGATGCGTATCTCACCCCCACCGTCCCTCTTGTGCGCCACCGACACGTCCATCAGCAACGCAACGCGGTCGAGCGCAATCACCGTCGCCGCCGTGTCGTTTGTCCGCCAGCAGGATGACGGCGGGCCGTCCTTGTAGATGCCGACAGACGTGTTGCCGAACACCAGACGGACGTTGGCCGCGCCGTCCTTCTTGGCCTGCTGCCATATGGTGATGGCCTTATCGAGTGTCGCCGGGCTGTGCCAGGTGACGCCCATGCTGCTGCTGGTGAATGATGAGGACGGCAGGGGGCCGGTGAGTGCGGGCGGGAGAGCGGGGGTGGGCCATTGGGATGGGGGACAGGTGGTGAGGTCCTCGATGTCTGCGAGGCCGATCGATGACAGGTGGGGCGGCGCATCCTTGCAGAAACTGCGGCAAACGTCCCACAGAGGGCGGTAGCCTACATGCAGATGGAGAAACCATCGAACGATTCACGCACCCATTCCGTCCACTCACCGGTGCATCGGCATATGTTGCCATCGATCTTGCCCGCCATCTTGTCGCTTGTGAGCTCCCCATCCTCCCCAGTCAGGGCATCGTACAGGCTCACGACGAAGCCAGGGGTGCAGTAGCCACACTGCGACCCTCCCAGTGCCTGCACACGGCGGTGCAGCACCGCCGGCCCATCGCCTCGCTGCTTGTCATTCTGCAGTCCATGTGCCGTCGTGATGGCGCACCCCTGGACGGAGGGGAGGGGCTTGAGGCATGAGAGGGCCGTGTGGCGGTGGGTCTGAGAGGTGGCGGGATCGAGGCGCTCCACCAGGACGGTGCATGCTCCGCAGCCTGGGAGAAGAACACAGCATACTCATGTGTGGGCGCTTGGCATGCTTGTCTCCAGGCGTGTGAGTGCAGTGCTCCGTGTACCGCCCTCAGCGCATCCGATCTTGACATTGGTGACATCGAGTGTGTCCCGGAGGTAGGCCGCCAGCGACACCGAGGGGTCCACTTCATGTGTCGGGATGCGCACCTCTCTGCTGTCCACAGTGAAGACAAGATCACCTCCTGCCGATGGCGCACTGGAGCCGGGCATGGTCGATGATGATTCACAAGACAGATGCTGTCACTGTGTTCCCCCCCTCTGCGCTCCTGGTGCGCTCGAAATTCGTTCCTCTGTTTTCACGCTAAGCTCGCAGGGCGAGCTAAGAGGTGCCATGTCCTTACTTCCCTTTACTGGTGCCATGTCCTTGCTGAAGTCCCTTTCCTTCCGAACATCATGCTCACCGCAGTACAGAGCTGTTCATCCACTCCAGTGCTGCCCTGTAAGCACTAATCATTGCAATGGACACCATGAGTCAATGACATGCAGCTCCCCCTGCCTGCAGGCGTTGCGACCGTCCGTCCCTGCCCCGCGGGCAGCAGGTCGAAAGTGGAGCTGGGCCTCCCTGCTGCGGTGGCAGCCGAGAGAAGAGGACCGTCACGACGATAGAGACGTCCAGGTGGTGCAAGAGGCGAAGGTACAGTACGAGAGTGTTCCGTCCCTTGCGTGTCAGCAAATCTCTCTTGCTTGCCTCAGGAGCACAGTGCGGTCAGTTGCTTAGCTTTCAGCCCGTTGCTGCCCGTGGAGGAAGATCCGCAAGAACCGCCGCACTATCTCGTTGCTTGCGGCTGCCAGGATGGCCACGTCACTCTGTACAAGTGTGTGTGCAGCGAGTTTGACCTGGCGTACCTCGGTGCATCGACACCGCTGGAAGCATACGCCAAGCCGCACTCCCCCGTCGCCACCCTTCACAGGATATTGTTCGGCCATTTGGCGGCAATCACGTCTTTGGTGTTTCTGACCGAGACTGACCCGCCCGTGCGGCTGTATACCACGTCCATCGAGGGCGTGGCCTTCCTTTGGGACGTGGAGAGAGGTGAGACACGAAGAATGCACACCCACTCATTCACTGCCTGTTGTCCGGCTCGTTCAGGCATCCCGCTGCGGCATTGGCGAGCGGGGCCGATAATTGGAGCAGAGCTTGTTTGTGTGGACCTCTCCTCGCCTGTGGTCGCTTTTATCACGGCCGACGGCAACTTCCACTGCGTCGATGTCAATCGTGGAGATATGATAAACAAACTCCAATTGGGTGGTCAGCTCAGATGTCTGGCGATAGATGATGTGACCGGCAGCTACGCATTCTGCGGTGGCCTGACGGGGAGGGTGACGGCAGTGCGAATCGCCCTCTCGCCCAAGGGGAGACACCACACCATCCGCGCAACCCTCACCAAAAGGATATCGAAGGGCTCGCTTACTTGCTTGTCTTTCGTGGGCGGCGAGGGGGAGCACTGCATCTCTCCGGGTCCCTTCCTCATTGCCAACACGACTGACGCGTCCCTCGTCATTGTGGATTGTGTCTACCAGCCATTGGCGAGGCGGAAGGACACCACTGGCGAGAGGAGGCGCGTGTGGGTGCTGGTGGATCTGATTGTCAGAAGGCGGCTTGAGGTACAGCTTTCCCGTCATGCTGGCTGGCTGGCTGGGCTTTGATGTCTCCTTCCTGCTGTGTGATAATGCATGCACACATGCAGCTGGTACAGATGAGGCTGCCCATTCGTCACACGTACACGAGCTACGGTGGCACCTATGTCGTTTCGGCATCGGAAGACAAAACGGTCGGCAACCAAACACACGGGAAGTCCACCGTGCACCCCCTTCTTTGGTGTTCAGGTGACGGTGTACTCACTCAGCCTCCACGGTGACCTGCGCTGTACCTCACTGCAGCACCACAAGAGCCCGGTTCTCTCGGTTGCCCTGTCTCCGCCATCCACGCTGCTTGTCTCGGGCGACACGTCAGGAAACCTCGCCTTCTGGAGAAGGCTGACGTTCACACAGCAAACACAGAGCACGTGCCAGTCACAACACTCCCTCCCCACCCCCATACTGACGGGCCACTCTTTCTCTTCCCCCGAGGCGGCGTCGACGCCCTTCAAGGGCGCATATTCGTGCACTGAGGACGAGAGTGAACATGCGGTATTTGTGATAGGTGAGGCGGAGCCAGATGATCACGAGGCAAGGCGGGATGGGGAGGGGGGAGAGGAGGGGCAGAGACGGAGGTCGAGGGTGGAGGAGGTGGAGGATGGGTGGGTGTGAAAGGAGGCGATAGGGCATGTGGCTCAAGGCCGGTATGTGTAGACAGAAAGACATGTGGCTTGCTCAATGTACTTATGCACAGCTCATCATGGAAGTTCGAGCACAACACTCGTCATTTTTTGTTATCAAGAGCACTCATTGTTCCATACAACCCACCACCCACGAAATTATGCAGTCCACACAATGGCTCATGCGGCAGCCATGGCCCTCGGCTCTTCGTCCGCTGACTGACTGCTCCTCTCCGATTCGACGAAGCTCTTGCTTCGCGAACGCCTGCTTCCCCTTTCTCTCTTTCTCACGACAGGCGGCCCCACCATAGATGCCAGCGCCGCAGGAGAAGTGACAGCCCCCGAGGACAGACTGCGCCCGACGGGAGAGGGGCACTTGCCGATAGCCCCCTCACTGTTTCCTTCTGCAGCTGTCTCAGCGCTCTTTTCCTCTACTGGCAGGGAAGGAGAGCTGTCAGGGGGAACAGGTATGGGTGAAGCCAGTAGATGTGTGGGGCGGACTCGTGGTCGAGCGACACACAATGCCAGCGGGCCCAGAAGCCGTCCGAACCATGTCTGCTCCCCCGGATCATGTGTCTGTGGGAGACACAAAGGAACGAAGATAAGCGCGTCGAGTTCCATCCCATCTGTGTGGTCTCACCTGCTGGCTGGCCTCACTCACAGCAATCGACCGCTGGCTGTCGGGCGTGTGGGGGTAGGAGGGGCAACTACCGGCCAGGGGAGAGGGCGTATGTGGCTCCGACGGATAATCGAGCTCAACGCCCGTCTCCAGGACAATGATGCCTCGCGGCCGCCGAAGGGCCTCCAGTTCCTGCTGCAGATCGTTGACCTGCTGCTGCAGCCAAGCCTTCTCACTCGACTCGTCAGCTTTTCTGCAGGACAGCGCACTGTATTCCATTCACGTGACCCTTGGTATCGCTCGCTTACATGATCTTGTCATGTTTGGCGCTGGCCTCCCGACATTCACCCGTCTGATGAGCTGAGATGGCTGCGTGAGGAGAAGGGAAACTGGCATCATCACTGTCACAAGCCCAGGTGGGCTGGCGCTGCACCGGCAGGGTGTGTGCTGCTTGGCAGGGAGGAAGTGAGCCACTATCGTCACAAATGCCGGTGGATTGGTGGAGCATGGCAGGGGAAGTCGGGGAGCAACCAGGAGATGCCATTCTGGCCCTCTTCTTAGCTGGCACGCCCTTTACACCGCCCCCATGAGGCCCCCCGTCTCCACTTGAAGATACTATGCGATCAACTCATGGATGCAGCCTCCCTCTCCGGCAGTATGGTCAGACAGGTCGGCGTCACGCATCCTGCGCGAAGCGGCTCATGCAATGATCATGCTATCGGAAACCAAAGACATGGATATTGAATCAACAGACATGGAAGCCGCTGTTAACACATCGTTCGTTCGTTCGTTCGTTTGTTAACGGACACCGAGGTCCCACACATCGGTGGGGTCTCACTCACGCATGGCCACTCGTACCAGGCAGATCCTCCGTCGACCCACTCGCGTGATTGCACTGAGGGGGGTGCTCGTGGGTCATTGACTGATGGCTTGGTACGGATGTGAATCGCTTTGATGGTTTCCAAATTGCTAGACAAGGACGTGACGTGAAGCGTCAACACGGACACTCAGGAAGCACGCAGCGAGAGGCAAGCAAGACGCGACGGATGCGACATTCGCACACTCATGAACGGTCTGTCCGTGCCATGCAGGGTGTTGTTTCCCCAGTGCTCATGATGCCCCGGCAGGCAATTCAGGCGCCGCCCCGCCTTCCCCCCCCCCCGACCCCCAGCGGACATGGCCGGTCTGGTGCAAGCAAATGTACCAGCCACGACTCCCTGGAGCCTACTTTTCCGCTGCACGATCCACTTCCACGTCACCACCCCTAGAGGTCTGTCAGTCTGAGTGTGTCGTCATCCCTGTCCTCAGACAGCCCTCTCGCCTCGATGAGTGCAGGAATGCCGCCCATTAGCCCTTTGATGGCCCATTTGACACCGGGCCGCCCTTTCTGCATCCCTGTGGCGCCACCAAGGACGGAGCCAGCCAGACTGGAGAGCAGCAGGGCCACGCTGCCAATTCGACAAACCTCCACCCACAACGGCTGCACACATTCAGACAGACAGTGGGTGCTACCCTACCCATGTCTATCCATTCATCGGTGTTGTACCACTGAGATGAGTCCAGTGGTCTCTTGCTGCTGTATGATCAGCTCCTCGGTGCCCCTGCCCCACGCCAGAGCGACCACAAGGGCGAAGGCGGCCAGGTGGACGCGCTGTGGCCATCGCAGCTGTAAAGCCTCGAAGCGGCGCTGGTTGTCCCTTCTTCTGAGATCGCCGCGTGAGTCTTCCGAGAGCTGATTGCCGCGCTGGAACAGCCGCTCGTCCAGCGCATCACGGGCCCGCTTCTCCTCCGCAGTCAGCTGTAGCGACCACATACATCGACAGACAGACACATCAGAGCGTTTGTGCTGCATTGTTGCCAGCTCACCGGTTTGGTGTCCTCAGACGAGACAAATGGCAGCTCCTCGAGCAGCACAATGCCTTCCTTCATTTGCAGGTCGGCCGCCGTCAGCTTCTCGCCCCTCCTCTGCCGCTCCACTGCCTCTGCGCATGCAGTAAGGTTCTGGCGGGACAGGGCAGAGCGCAAGGCATCTTCTACCAGCCTGTATGTTCACACACATGAGTGAAACCAGGCAGGTGGCACCATATGTAGCAGTTTGCTTGGCGTACACTGATGGCTGCGACGGCTGTGGTGCTGTCCTGGAGTTCTCTTGTGTGGTCGTGTCTTGTTCCCTGATGCCGAGGCGGTCATTGAGCTCCGACATACCGCCGTTCCTCAGGATGGGGCGAATCAGATAGCCGTAGCCTGCCGCTCGCAGCTCGTCATACGTCACCCGCTTTGCCCTCCTCAACCTCATGGCCATGAACTCCTCCAACTCCTCCGCTACCTGCTCACACAAGACAGCACACCGCCATCAATCAATTGTCTGCCATCGATTGTTCGACTCTCAACATGTCTGCCACTCACCCACCCACCTTATCCATGCTTTCCCAGTACGACACCCGCCTCAGGCGAGATCTCAGCCGGCGCAGCTTGGCCCATGACGGACGTGGAGTGAAGCGGCTGCCGATGAGTGATGTTGCAGTGTCGTCATCGCCTTGGCGGGCCCTGAGATGAGTGCGGCTGACTGCAGGGGGCAAGGGGAGGCAGGGTTGGGGTTGGAAGAGTGGCAGCGATGAGCCGAGGCATGCTGACGAAGGCAGAGAGACCGCTGCTGTTGTAATCGTCATTGAATCAAAATCTGACAGATCCACGCCAGAACTGGCACAGGGATGTTGACAGATGCCTGCCCTTCGAGGAATGAAGGGAATGTGGAAATTCAAGCTCGAGAAGCCACTGAGCTCGCAACTTGGGCCCAGGAGTCGGACAAAGGAGAAGGGAAGAATCATTGTAGAAGTGTTGGCGTGCCTGACTTGGGACAGTTTCTTCATAATGGCTTCGAGCTGCGACGCCATTATGATGCAGCAGCTGCGGGAGAAGTTACGGGAGAAGGACGAGCACCTGCATACACTGCGTAAGCACAGGAGGCCACTTGCCACCCACGGCATGAATGCATCCACGTGCTTTCAGGTCTTGAGCTCGAAAGGGCCCAGCAGGAGTCGCGCGTGCAGAAGAGCGCCTCAGAGCAGCGGGAGGCGGCACTGCTGGTGCAGTTGCAGCAGCTTCAGTGAGCAGAACACACTATGCAATGCACAGTATGCGATTTGGTTGCCTTACCTGTGTCTGCCTGCACACAGGGCTGAAGCCGAGGCGCACAAACAGGATGAAGAGCGCACGAAGGCAGACACAGGTGGGGTACACAAGCAAACGTTCCTCCTTTACTTCCTGATTGACTTGTGTGCGCCCTCATGTCTGTGCCATGCGTGTATGCAGAGCACTTGCGCACCAAGTTGGCGGACCGCACATCCCAGCTGGCCGAGCTCAAGACCCACACAGACCAGCTGCGGGCTCTAGTGGATGAGCTGCTGGCCACCCAGCCGAGGCGTCCGCGCCTGCCCAGGCCCGCCGGCACCACCCTCCGGTCATCGCATGCCCCCTCTGCTGGCATGTTCCCCATCCGGCACCCCATCCACCCGGCCCCACCCATCCATCCGAAGAGAGACGAGTCAGCGCCGGCCAGGGCGGCCGACGGAGAAGGGCGGGGGGAGGACGGTGCGGCCGCTGCTGCTGTGTCTGCGTCAGCGCCTGAGGGCGAGAGGGACAAGGGGGCTAGGGAGCCGGTTCCGCCACTGCATCCCAAGCAGTCCCTTGCCAAGGTGGGCTGTAGTGTCACTTCGCGAACCTATTTTTTATGGATGTTCATCTTATTTGTCTGTCAGGCTCGGAGGTACGAGACGCAGGTGGCCGAGCTGAGGAAAAGATGGGAAAAGGTCAGTCAGTCAATCAAGGAACCGAGGGCGGCAGAGAGGCATCCGGATCCATCCATCAAATGTCTTCTATCTATCTATCTATCTGTCTGTGCTGCCCCCTATGCCAGAGTGAGGTGGCGCGTCAGTCTTTGATGGAGCGCTTGCGTGACCAGCAGCACCACAAACTACACGCACAGAAGATGCAGCAAAACCTGGCCAGGCAAGTCGGTTGGTCCGTGCATTCAGGAGCTGAGTGGACCTCTCTTGTGTCCTGGCTGGCGGGCGGGCTGGCTGGCTGACTGGCTGTCGTGGCTGATTGCGTGCAGGTGTGCAGATGCTATCACGCGTCTCGAAACGGAGCGCAATCAGCTGCGGCAGCTGATGCTGGACAAGGAGTACTACTGCAGAAAACTCGAGATGAAACTGCTCAAACTACACAAAAGAACCGAAAGGCAAGACCCACATTATTACATGAAAGCTGGTAGGCAGTCCCCCCTGTCTCTGACAAATGGCTTTTCTGCCTGTCTGCAGCGGTGTGTGTCAAAGGAAGGTGGTGAGGCGCCCCACTGCCGGCTCCCAGCCAGCGTCACGGCACGCCACACCCATAGCCAGCAGAGGTATGACGGGCCATAAGGTGTCTATCGGCTCGGCTGCCCTGGACACTCCCGAGGTGTCGGACTCCCTGCCCTCACCAGACACGACCAAGGACAAAAGAGACGATGTTGGTGCGCGACCATCGGCGAGTGCTGAGCATAATGCTGAGAGGACGGCTGGCGTCGAGCAGAGGATCACCAAGGAGGACGTCCTTGCTCCAAGACACCAACCACCACAATCCTCAGCACCAGGCCCGCCCCCACTCCTCCACAACGAGACGTTCCCCCCATTTCGCATATCCCCCGCCCCCTCCCACCCCCTTGACGACCCGGCCAGACGGCTGCGGTCCTCCCCCGGCTACAGAGAGATTCTCGACATCTTGCTTGACACACTCGATGATGAGGACAGCGCAGATGACGACGATGAGGGCATCAGCGACGTCGCTCTTGAGCCCACCTGCGTCAGGAGGGATGGTGCTGGTGCGGTCAACACGGAGGGCAGCAGTGAGTCGGCTGAGAGCTTGAGGGAGAGGGAGGAGATGAAAGGCAAGGCGGGGACTCTGTGTGGTGCTCGGGCAGTGGATAGGGTGGACAGGGTGCCGCTGCTGCCTAGGAGGGTGGTGGAGGCCGCGAGAGCCATGGAAGGCGTCAGAACCAGGTGTGTAGTAAAGATGGAAAGAGCCACCCCCTCACCAAGATACGGACATTGTTGGTATCTCTGCTGTCTCTGTGTGTGTCTGTCAGCGATGAGGACGCCTCCGTGGAGAGCGAGATGAGGGCTATGAATCCTCGTATGGACATGCACAGGCTGTCGACTGGCGAGAGCGTGTCGGCCATGGACAGCAGTGACATCTATGTGGACGGCGCACCGCTCAGCTCATAGCTGGCTTGCTTGCTTGATGGATGGATCGGTGAGAGGCGTGGGAAGACGTGTTGTGTACAGCGATGGATCGGTGTATTCACTGTGAATCGGCTCGCCCGTTGACTCCATCATGTCCACTAAATGGCACAAATGGCACAGAAAAACGGCCTGCCCATCCCCATGTCCCACTCTATCGCCCAATCCACCCATCCCACCCAGCCTCCCTCCCTCCGTCCCGTTCTGCTCATTCATTCCTTGCTTCACTGGTCGTCGTCTCTTTTCCTCTTCTTGTCCTTCTTG